TGTCGCCTAGGAATAATGCTACCCCTAGGGTGCTATTAAGCTAACTAATTAGAGGCAAGCAATTGTTAGCAAAGGATAACAAGACTATACTACGATAACGAACGCGTAACGAGTGCTAACGAGCGCACTATAACTAACAACTAATCGCCTGCTCTTCTAAGGATTCTACCTCTTTACTAATACGCCCTATAAGGCCCTCCTCTTAGTATTTAAGTCCCCCTCTTATTCCTTTATTCTGCTAAGGCCCTAAGGCCTAGGCGGTCGGTAGAGACGGTGCGCGCGCGTAGGCGAATAGTATTAGCGATAATAATAGTGTTAGCGCTAAAAGGCGGCGCAGCTATATTAGTAACGGTATTACGGAGTGTATTATTAGTCGAAGAAGGAAATCGGAAGCAAGGTAAAGTTAGCGCTAAGACGACTAGCGCTACTATTGTTAATATTACCTACTCGCTACTATTACTAACCTTACTTGTTATCGCTACCGTGCCTATAAAAACAACCTTACCTATACTACGAGTCTAAAGTACTATACTAACTAAGTTAAAAGATTGAACCTATTAAGGGTTTAATTAAAACTTTAACTAAGTTAAAAGATTAAGCGACTAATAGACTAACTAAGGGTAAAAACTATAGAGCTAAGCTAGCCGAGGTCGATCTTGCGGATAATAGGTTACTTCTCGATCTTTCCGACCCTTTAAGCAAGGCGAACCTTAACTATTACACTTATAATAGCCTTTACTTATAGAAACTAGACGAACTGTGTTTTTTGAAAAGATAAGATAAGATTGACAATTAAAGGCTACTAAACCTAACTAATTAGGGCTAGCGAAACTACGAACAATAATAGTCCTCGTAATAATAAGAATAAACCCTCGGAAGTAGACAACCCTCGGAAGCGGACATTGCTAGGTCTTTTAAGAGTAGACGCAAAGAACTCGGTACGACATTACTTAGAACAGAGGTAGTACTATAGTACCTCGTATATCTACCTATTATAGTAGGGAAGACGCGCTCGTATTATAATTAGTCGATAGCCCTTAATTCTTATAGCTTTATATCCCTTTACTTTATTATATACAAGGATAGCGCAGTTAGAGTTAGACATTGTATTAGAAGGTAAGGTTTGATATAGTTATATAATTAGGTACTTAAGTGTTCAATTTAGCGCGGGCTAAGTAGCTTATTAGACTTACTAAGTTAGTAGTAATAGAGGTCGAGATTAGAATATAGATAGGCTACGAGGGCGCGGCCTTTAGAAGGGAAGCGTATATTAGGACTAAAGAGGTTATATGTAATTAGTATATAACTAGGCTCGAGTAAAGCTAGGGTCTTAATACCTTAGGTAGGGCTTAGCGCTTAGTAATAGGCTAACTTGCCTACCTTCCTCCCTCTCTTCCTAGCTCCTTATCGAATACTACCTATACCTACTACTACCCTATCTACCTGCTAATATAACCCTTCTTATATCCGTAGGCGTAGCGCTCCGAGCTAATCTCTAGTACGATACTAGCTCGAGCATTCCGATTCTAATTAGCTAGCTACTTAGCTCTAGTTATACCTTAGCTAGTTCGGCTACGTATCGCGTAAAGATTTCTATATCGCTACTGCCCCGGTAGCCTAGAATAGTTATTATTCGGTCGTAGGGCCGCTAAGGTAGTATTATTAGACTATATTACCTCTACTAGTTTTCCTACTAATGCCTTTAGCTTATCGTATCTAGTATTGTCGTTATTAGCGCTAGCGGAGGTGTTATTATTCCTATTATTCCTAGTATTAGTATTAGTAGTAGCGTTGTTATTAGCGGTAACCTCGTCGTTAAAGTGCCTAGTAGACTTAGTATTCCTCCTTCGACGTCGCTATTCGTCGGTAAGGAACAATTTAGGGATACTATTCGTATCGATAGTATAGCGCTATTCTAAGGCTGTCGGAGGTAGTGCTCTACTAGCTTCTATACCCTTATCTCTGCTTTTGTTCTTAGCTCTTATAGCCTCCTTACGGCCTTTATTAAACGCTTGTTAGATTTAGGCCTATATCTTAATCTCGTAAGCCTTGCGCTATTTGTCTAGTACCTATCGTAGACGTATACGATCCGTAGCCCGATTATTGTCTACCTTAGTACGTTAATCGGCTAGCTACTAAGCTACCTAGGACTTTATTTATCTGATTTTATCTCGCTATTTAGCGCCGGCTATACCGTTTACCGGCGCTATAGATCCTAGAGCTTACTTACCCGATATGTCTTCTCCTTCTAGCTAGGAATCCGGTAGTAAGCTAAGTATCGAACTGCTAGATACCGAGATTAATAAGCTCTCGCGAGGTTTTAGAGGTAGGTCGTCTTTACGGAAGGCCCCGAAGTTCTTAAAAACGTTACCCGTTAGTAGGTTAATTTTAAAAGACTCCCTACGTCTATTAGGCTTAGCTTAGCCTAAGTTCTCTTCCTCGATCGAGCGGCGGACGCCCTACTTCTCTAGTCGTAGAGGGATATAAACCTTATAGCGACGTAGCTAATTCTCGCTTACGGCCGGATTCTCGTCGGTAGACTTAAGGTATTCTGCTAGCTACTAAGCGAAGTATAGGCTATCCGACTAGTACGAAGTTAGACGATATACTTATCGTATAGCGGAAAGTAATAGGGAGTTATCGTTAACCTACGAACTAATAATCTTAGCGCGTATCTAAGGCTTAGGAGTTGCGTCTTTATCTATATCTAGAACGCGGGACTATAATCTTAGGCGACGTAGAGGTTTAGCCTCCTCCGGACTCGGATCCTTATACTACTCGGTAATAGCGATAACTCTATATCTAAGATTCTTCTCGAACAGCTTATTTAGATACTACCTTAGTTTTAAGAAGGCTAATAGTATATATATCGTATAAACTAGGTAGTATCTATCTTCCTTTAATTCGGGAAGAGTATAATCTTCCTAGGCTATAGGCGGCGGGTCGTTCGGAGATTCCTAGTCCTTCGATACTATAGGCTCTAGTATTATAATATAGATATTAAGAGGCGGAGCGGGAAACCGCCTCGATATTAACTATAGTTATAGGCGTAGTAGCTATCGTAAGAGTAGTTAGAACCCCCTACGTCCTTATACTATAAAAAGGGGGAAGTTAGAAGGGTTAGGTACCTAGCTCCTACTAATCCGAACTAACGCTCCTACCTCTAGCAAGTAAGGGTATTAATAGAGGGAGCGTAAAGCGCGCCGCGGCGCTAGGCTAGGTCTATCGTCGATCTTCGAGCCGATTCGCCTATAGATCTCGTATATTTTATACTAAATTACAGCCTCTTTCTTTATAGCGTAGCTACGGCGTTCTATAGTACGGAAAGTGGTATTAGAGTAGTTTGTTAGGATTCTCCTTCGGCGCGGAGGACTTTTCGCCTTAGAGAGAGGAATAGTAAACTATAGTTCGGATAGTCCGTTTAGAGACGGTTAGTGCGTATTTTTACGCTAGTACTCGAAGCGAAGCTACTATTTTGTTATATATCGTATATTATAAAGTAGATAATCATTCTAAGTCTATCTAGGCTTAGAGAAGTATATACTATAGGAGGCTAGGGCCTCCTACCTAGCCTATACCTATGCCTGCCTTCGTAATAGTCTAAGCCTAAAATATACTATATAAGCCGGCTTATAAGCTAATAATCTAATCTAAGCTAGAGTAGTTAGACGATAAGCTAATCTAATCTAGCCCTTTTAGAAACAATCTAAGCTAATCTAATCTAAGCTAGAGTAGTTAGACGATAAGCTAATCTAATCTAGCCCTTTTAGAAACAATCTAAGCTAATCTAATCTAAGGGTACTAATAAGCTAACCTAATCTAGGGGATCTAGATTAGCTTAGCTTACCTATAGACTATACTATATACCGGTACTATTAGATATTTATAAATCTATAGACTATACTAGACCTTTTTTTTAGAAGTAGCGCGTCTACTATATATTAGTTAGAGACTTAGAGTACCTAGGTATAGATAGTACCTAGAAGAGTTAATATTATATTTAATATATCGTATCTATTTTCTTTTATATTCTAGGAAAAAAAATCTAGTAGTAAAATTAGTATTAAATAATTAAGGAATATAGCTATTAACTATATATATCTAGTATTTATATTTCTAATTTTTAAAAAGGATTGCTATCTTTCTTAAATTAATTATATATATATATATATATATTATTTTAAAAAAGACTTGAATATAAACTATAATTCTACCTATTTTCTTTTTAAAAAAAAATTTAGCTTAGTATATTCTATAAAGAAACGTTTATCTAAAAAGCGAAAAAACCCCTAGTAGTACTATATATAATTAAAAAAAATCTAATAAATATAAAGGAAAAAAGAGCGTAGTTTTTTTTATAATATATATATATATATATATATATATATATATACTATTCTTCTAAGTTCTTCTTTTGATTTTTAATATTTAGAAATTTTTTTTCTTAAAAAAAAGATAAAATTCTAATTTTCTTAAGAATCTCGATTTTTTTTATAACTTTTGTTTTTTTTTAAAAAAAATTCTAGATTTTTTTAAGAATAATAAATAGGTAGCCGTTGCTTGCCCTAGAATTCTGTCCTTCTATAGGTACTAAAAGAATAGTAGTACCGGTTAAAAACTAGCAGTATAGCACTATATATGCAAAAGTCAGACATAGTACGTACTAACTAGCCGAGCTGCCGCGGCATGTTAAGAGGTACGATCCGCGCATCTTGCTTTTAACACAAGCTGTTTCTAGAAGAAGGAAGATAATTAGAGAGGCTTGAATTCGGCAATTGGTTAATCGTTCGTCGCCCTATGAAAAATCAGCGGCCCAACAGTCGGTGCTCCAGCTCACCTTTGAAACTCAATCGTAGCTTTATTTTGACCTCATCAGTTAAGATCGAAGTTTTCGTCTTTGATTGATGAAGAACTAGCTATGCGGACGCGTTCTACCTATTGATATGGTTCCTTAGCTGGTGTGTAACGCCTTGAACAGTGAGGAGCTCAACCCCTCCTGATCACCTCCGATGCGCAGCAGCCTTTGTGGACGTGGAGTCAATGCCCGCCAAGGTCGCGTGCCCAGGACACTGATACCACATCGTGTACCAACTAGTCGTCAGACTACTAGTTGAGCCTGTCGAAATGTAAGTCGCCAGCGGATATGGGGTTGTGCAGATGTATTTCTGGTCGACTGTGGTACTCACGGCTTCTTCAGCTCTCTTCATGAGCGTGGTAACCACAGTCGAGCTATCCAAGTAGGTGTGCGTCACGACTGTGGGACTAATCTGAGTACCAAAGCCAGTCACGGTAGAGTAAAGGCTTGTCGTGGTCTCTTCTGTCGTAGGCAACTTCGGGTCACCAGTTGAAGCGGTCGTGATGGTTGGCCATTCGGTCGTGCTAGAGCTTACGCTGACAGTAGTGGAAGTCGCCGGTAAGGTGACCACAATCGTGACTCTGGATTCTGTTGTGCTGCTGGACGTGCTCTCTGGGAATGGCGAGGGAGATACTTTGACCGAGGAGGTGCTCGATGTCGTGGTGCTTGACGAGGCTGTCATATTGTCGGTGCGCCAGCACTTCCAGCTACGGGCCATTTTGTCGAACCCGATCTTGCCAAGATTGTCATAGCCTGGATTGGTGATGGGCGCTGAGGCAGTTCCCGTGCAATTGATCTCGGAGTAGAGATAGCACACTTCTTTCTCGTTTGGACCAGCAGAGCTGATGTTGGCATTGAGACTATCAGGTACCTTTGGGCCTGTTCGATGTTTGGTCAGCTGAGTCTGGTTTAGTCATGATGCTTTGGGAAGCGCTCACTGCACTGGTCGTTGGTCATGCACAAGTTGACCCCATAGCCTTGCCAAGAGTAGTCATTGGTCAAGTAGAGACAGACCTGCCAGTCTGGATTCGACGTTGGGATGGGAGCTGCCGTGGGCCATGGAAGTGTGATTGGCCATTCGTCGCGAGCCACTGGTGGTGCAGCAAGAGCAAGGCCAGCAGTGGCGGCGAAGCCGAAGTAGGCGGCCTTCATCTTTCTTCGAGCAGGTGTGTGGGTGGTGTAGCAATTGATCTCTTCGGGGCGTCTTCAGCAAGCAGCGGAATATTAGGTGTCGAAACGAAGGTTGTCTAGTTTGACCAGCAGGCTGCAAGTTCATGAAATCAAAGTTGCAAACGCAAGAGCTGCATTTGAGATCTATCGGGAAGCTGCATATGTGATGCCGTTTCATCTGCATTCGTAATTTCGTACATTTGCGCAACAGCAACCCACGCGCTGGCAGGCACGACGGGATATACAAGAAAACAAGAAGTTGAGTTCCACACTGTTGTCTCTTAGAACATCGTTGTTGAAATTCATTGCGAGTCAAATCTCCATCGAAACTGCCGACCAATGTCAAATTGGAAGTCTCGTCTAAGTCTGCGGGTTTGTGCGCGCAGCGGCATCGTGATGCGATCGTAGCGGTCCAGACAGCTGATTGTGATACGTCGTCTTCCAGCCGATGTCAGTCAGGCTTGAGGTTGAAGAGGTCTCTGAGGTTGCAGAAGGCCATGTAGTTCAGAGGTTGACCTTTGGAATGGGAACTGAAGCCGTGCCAGTGGGAATTGGTGCAGTGCCGGTTGGAGTTGGGAGCGTTCCGCTTGGGACAGGATGCTGGCCATGAATGCCTGGAATGATCTCCCAGTGTGGCTTCCAGTTGCCTCGACGAGCCTTGCCGAACTTTGGTGCAGCGTCTTGCTCTGCAGAAGAGCCAGTGCCAGTTGGGATGAATGGCAAAGTAGGAGAGCCTTTGTGCTCCTCGTGGTGCTTGTCCTTGGCTGGTATGGCAAGGACCGAGGTGAACAGAACAGCCAAGGTGGCGAATTGAATGGTTGGAGCCATTGGGTGGGGCGTGTATGGAAGGATTGGGTGGTTGTTTGGAATAGGTTTACCTTGTAATGAGCGTGGTTGACCAAGATGGAGCGTGCTTGAACTATTGATGTGCCGAGCGATCAGTGGAGAGGGAGATCGATGGGTACTTTGGGAGTGGTAGGCGCGAAGAACGAAGATATACCTGCTCGGGGCTCCACAGGCGCGCCATATACAATCACGATAGACTAAAAGCACAATGAACTGGGCGCCGAACCTGCATGGTTGCAGCCCCAAGCCCATGGTTCGCGCCACCGCTCACTCACCTCATATGGGCATTAAAGCAGGCCAGTCTCAGGTACAGCTTCGCATTGGGCGGACTCCTATCGGCTAACGAGCAGGCTTCTCGTGAACACGCTGGTTGTGGAGAGAGTTCGGGTGGTCGAGGAGGCGGCACCAGGGCGTCGTCATCTTCGACGACATGGTGTGGTGGAATTGATGGCCTGGCGCATTGTAAGCACTGTCTGCAATGGTGTGGAGGACACGATAAGAAACAGATCCAGCTGTCGATGATGCCGCCTTGCCCTGTTGGTTCTCTGTGAAAGCGAACTTCATCAGCACCAACGCCGAAGTTGAACATTCTTCTCCGTCCCCAACACTGTGACCCAGTACCGCTGTTGAGAGACGGCGTACTATACGTGTTTCAAGTTGGCCACACCATGGAAAATGAAGACCACAGCTCGAACGATGCAGCAGTTCATGCAGGGATGATGCCACGTGCAGCGCCCTGCAAGCCTCAGTCCAGGTTTCAGATGAGGTCTCGATGGAAAACTCTCCGATCTATCGTCTTCGCTGCTGTACTTTGAAAATTTGGATAGACTCCGCACCTCCTAGAATGTCGATAATTGCCGATGCCGTGAAACCTCAGGAAGATCATCTAGTCTGTTTGAGAAGACAAGATGTGACGCGGAACACAGAATGCGAGACTCAAGTTCCAAATAGCAAGGTTGGCAGCTCTGGTGATCAGGAGCCGAGTCATCTCTTTTTTTTTGCTGTTGCAAATCGCAACCAATCCAGAATGCATTTTGGAATAATAAATGACTTGCGTGTCCTGAAGTGACGTGGTTTCACAGCTGCAGGAATATTCGTGTCGAGCTCCGAGAAACAACCAGAAAATGTTGGCCATCAATACCCGCCAGCAGTGAGCATTAGCGTCTCTTTTCGGAAGCACGAGAAACACCTCTATGCAAGTTCCTCCTTGACACTTCGATTGCGCCAATACCGTCGAGACCTGGGCTGAGAACAGAAAAGCGAGATTGTCATTATCCGTCATCATTAAGCGGCTTATGTACATAGAGATGGCAATAGCTTGCTTGCCGCGAGCAGCTACATTTAGATCGATCAGTGCACGGTGTAAAGGGAATGTTTCTCGCTGCGTTCGCGTGGGTATCATGTTGCTCAATTAGAATCCTTTGAAAGGGTCCATGCCGTCTTCATCGAAAACATATCCTGCTCTTCGCTTGTCAACAGTAGATTGGCTGAGATTGCTGGCTCGTCGCGGCCGTCGGGTTGCACCAATGACAGGTGGTGGAGCTGGCACGTACAGTACGCCGTCTCTAACGTTCGGGTCAACGAACGCCTCCATTCGTACAGTGCCGACGGCTTCGAAGAAGTTCGGCTGCAACGGACTGGCCATGGAATCTCTCCAGCTACCGCTCTTGGTTGAAGAGACGCTTGGACGGAATGATGAACCATTTGTCGACCTATGCGGCATGCCAGAAGAAGCGGAGGACGGCACAGCGCTAGATGAGAAGCTTCGGAAGTTGTGCATTGACTGAGACAATCCGGGATTGGTATTGCTCCGTTTACGCGAGTGTTTCGTGGTGCTGATGTAGAGACGAGGAACAGCCGGGAAGTCTGCGCTGTCGTTCTCTGCAGCGCCGATTTCAGCTTCCATGGTATCATGCCCGTAGATCTGTTCCGGGTAAGATTGCACTTGTTGCAATTCTGGTTTCTTTCCTTTTGCAAGGCGTATCGAATCTCGCACGTTCGATCGTCCGAAGGATGGCGACCGATGACGTTTGATTGACACACCGTCGATGGACGTAGAGGGTATTGATGGTGGAAGAGGAGGTTTACGATTTGGTAGTGGAGGAATCTGGTTTGGTAATTGGCCAGATTGTGCCAAGAAGGACAAGGCAGTCATCCATAAGCTATGTCGCCCCTCGGTGGTAGCTGTGAACTTCAGTGCGCGTTCCGGAGTCAAAATCAGGATAGACCGATTCCAAGCAGCACTAAGCTCAGGGTTCTTAGGCAAGGGAGTGCGATCTTGCACATCAAGCACAGATTGGATGGCCACTATGACGTGTCAGTATCTCCGCTGAGTGGGTAAGGTATCTACGAGGCACTCACGTTTGCGTCCCTTCTTGCCTAGCAAGGCAGCACCAGAATTGGGCTGCTTTGTATCCCACATAATGGTTCTCTCATATGGCGACAGCCAAACCCAGCGCTTGTGTCGGGTGCCATGTCCGGTATTGCTGACAAGTCCGTTCTGATCAGCCACTGGGAATTCCGAAGTGTCGTCGCCAATGCCAAATGACTTTCGCTTGCGAATGTACTTCCACATCCATTCGCCAACCATGGTGCCAGCGATGGCGTCGACAAGATTTGTCTCCTCGGACACCCGAGCGCCACTGCTTGCGCCTGGAGACCTGGTCACATCGACGGAACCCTTGACGAACTTGTTGTACCTTAAGCTATCCTGAAGGGGGGTCGGGAGCTCCGGGATGGGGAAGTTCGTTGGTGCTGGACTTTCGAAGGCCATGGATTGGACAGGCGTGAGATCTGGAGAGCGGCGTCGCCTGCGATGACCTTTGGTTGGAGAAATTCGTACAGCTCTTGTGGGCGAGACTCTGCCTTTCGAAGGAGAGCCCCTCCCCGACATATTCCTCATGACAGCTGCGGACTGCACCTTTCTGAGACTGACCTGCCGGGCATGCTGTGCACGGCCACCACGACCACCGCGCATGCCAAATCCGTCGTATGGCGTTGGGCTTTGCGAACCCTCGCTGTGGGGCTTGCCGACAATGCGCGAGCTCGTGCGCAATGGCACTGGGAACGGTGGCATAGGAATTGTAGAGCTTGTACTGTAGCTGCTTGAAGCCATGCTGCCAAAGCTTGGGCTTCTCGAGCGAAAGTCTCGGTTGGCACTTGCCGCACTAACTGGCTTCGACAGTTTGGTCGGCGGTCGAGCATGTCTACGTTGAGATGCTGCACGACTGCTGGAGATTGAAGGAGCCGGTGCAGCTCCGTGCGAATCTGCTGTTGAAGGGCGCCTTTCGGGTGAGATCTCCTTGTCCTCAGGAACAGCCTTGGGAGGATCTGAGAGACCAAATCTCCCTAATGGTGGGCGACTGAGAGCTGGGATTGATCCGGTGATATCTCCATCTTCCATAAGCTCGTCATCATCGCTCTGATCAGTCGATTGATCAACATCAGTGAAGTGCTGCTGTTCTAGACGAGGTTGAGTGACTCCGTATTGGGATGATCGATTCAAAGGGCCGTTACTAGTGAAAGTCTCTGTCGGTGGGAGCGGCGGCGACAGAACAGGCCTTGGCAGAGGAAGTGCCTTGAGTGGATAAGTACGCAAATCCTTGGCGCTCTGATTGCGAGACATCTCCGGGCTTGACTCGATCGAAGAGTGGAATGGCGGCGAACAGGGAATGCTTATCGCAGGCGGGCTCTTCCTCTTGTTGAAGAGGCTCGCAGTGCGTCCAACTGCAGGGCCCTTCCCGCGTGGTTGTTCTTGGAAAGTTGGGCTGGGCAACAATGCGCCTGGCAACAGGTGAGGCGGGAGTTTCACAGGTCGTCTGTCAATGCGGATCTCTTCAGTCTGCACCCAAGCATCCTTGCTTGGCCACACAAGGTTTGCCTGTGAATCGGCATTCTTGGTTCCTGGCGGCAAAGCGTATGGGCGTGGAGAAGATGGTCGAGAGTTCGGCGGTATAATCGCAATAGATGGCACGAACATCGGGGGAGAAAGACTGTCGCGTTTGGGAGTGTGACCACTTTTTGGTTGTTCCGGTTTCACCAATTCGGTCTGCGTGGATGCTGTGCTATACGGGCGTGGCACCAAGAAGGCTGCCTTTTCGTGAAGCCATGTTGTACCGTCAACCACAGGTGTCTGGGGCGGGCTTATTGGCTTTGTTGGAACCTCACGTCTTGGTTGTTGTAACCCGCTTGTGTCAATCGCGGGCGGTCGCATTTCGGCGTCGTCGTCAGTGTCGTGGATCTCATGGAGCTCGTCAGTCTCCGCTTTGTCATCCCCAGCTTGTACAACTTCCACCCTTGGAGGAGAGCTGGGAGGAGACGGTTGGTAGCCGGTGTCGACATATTCAGCACGAGGGGCGGGCTCCGGCATATGAAATCCAGCGGGTGGCGGCGTGGTTGCTCGGTCGAGATACAGCTTAGTCGGACCCTGCAGCGCTGCAGTTTCAGAGGACGCCGGCTTAGGTAGATCTTTCGCGGCTGGCGTGTCATGCGAGTCAGTGGACAGCCCAAGGACGCGCTTAGCCTTCGTGTCGACGTCTCCCGTCACGGAATTTTGACGCGAATGGAGAGTACGTCTCGCACGTTCTGACAGTTCCTGATATTCGTCGCCTTGCTCAGAGCCGTCAATTTCCGGCTTGTCCTCTTCGTCTATTCCAAGCTCATCTGCTAGAGTGCCGCCAGGCCTTGCATAGAGATCTGGCGTCGCTGCAGTCGTCCTTGAAGAAACGGAGGCGCGTGTATTCTTGTGCCGGAAGCTGACATTGCTCATGTTACGTTTATGCTTAACGGGTGAGTTGAAAGAGCGGATGCTCGCAGTATCGCTGTCGTTGCCAAGACCGCTGTCTTTAAAAGCAATTTCGTCAACGAATTGGTCGGCCTGCATGTGGCTTTGTTGAAGTGACATCTCGTCAACGACAGCACGTAGGCGACTTTCTGTGACGTGAATTCGCCGTTCAAGCTGACGACGTTCATTATCCCACGACTCCTTGTCGTTCTCCCAGATATTCTGCGTCCTTTCCGCGTCCTCATCTTGCTGTCTGGTCTTTCTTTGGACGACCTCGAGCTTGGACCTGAGATCTTCAAGTGCTTCCAGAGCACCATCACGCTCCCTGACCAGATCTGCGACAGCGTCATAGGTTCCTTGTTCGATCTGCTGCACTTGATACTTGGCTTTGCGAATCTCTTTCGCCCTCTCAGACAGCTGGGCGGTGAGTAGATCGTTCTCATTGCGTGTCACAGCTAAGGTGGACTCGAGATTCTCGACCAGATTGTTTTTCGAATCCAGTTCGCGCCTGAGGCTCAGAATTTCGGAGACCAGAGACGCGTGCAGCGTGGGCGTGAAACGGCGTGGATCCAGAGCGGTGTATGGTGCATCGCGTGTCTTATCCTGGACATCTGTCGAGTCTAGAGGCAGTGGCGGGGGAGACGAAGACTGTTCTCTTGAAGAGCTGGCAGTGGCGCGTGAACTGCGTTTCGAACGGAGATAATTGGGTGTTTCGTAAGGCGTGTCGGCGGGTGATGGCAGGCCTTTGGCGCCGACAAACGAGGAATATTCAGAGAAATAGTCGGCCATGATTAGAGTATGCAAGATGGTTCGTCGTGGGTTGGGCCGGGTTGATCAACATGTGCACGGCAGGCAATGGGTTGTTGATGTCGAATAAGAATGCATATGATACGTCTACGCGTCCAGAAGAAGGTATTCTGCGAGCGGGTTAGCTTCTTGATGTGGACATGGTTGCAAAATGAGCCTGTGTGCGAGCGGCGTGGCATGTCACTCACCTACACGGCCATGTCTAGCAACATGACGTCTTGGCTCTGCTGAAGCTCACAGGGCCGGGCAGGGGCAGCGTCAAGCTTCAGTCGTTGAGGTCAGAGATGGGCAGGCAGGTGGTGTAGGTGTAGGTGTAGGTATAGGGATGGGAATAGGAATAGGGACACGGTAGAGACGGTCATGGGCGCACGCGATGCGGATCGAGGAAGACGGTCGATTCGAGCGCACCGCGACTCCTCCAGGTTAAACGTTCGCATAATGAGAGAGCAGGTGCCAGTGCCAGGAAAGTCAATGCGTCCCGACATGCTTTGCGCGCTAGTGCCATCCCTGCTCGCCAATGGCAGCGCCGCGCACTTACCAGTGGTTCCCGTGCTCCGGTGCTCCGCTGCACTTTGCCCTGCACTCTGCGATCCCTGCGGCCGGAAACGTTGAGCACGATAAGAGAGCAGTCTGTACATTGGCAACTCGCGCTAGCTAGCTCGACCTACCTTTTCCGAACTGCTTCCACCTACTCCGCCTTCTAATAATAGTTATATATAATATTCTTAAGGATACTATATAATAGAAGGTAGTAGTCTTTTATAATAGTATAAAGAGTCTCGACCTCGCTATCCTTATCTTCTTCTATTAAATTCCTACTAATAAGCTATTCTAAGTATATCTTAGTAGAGTTATATCGCTATTAAAGCATTTATAGTTAAAGAAACAGTCTATATAGCAATCTACCTATTTAGTAGTTATTCTACTATCTATAGTCTTTTAACCGTACTAGATATACTAATGCGGCTAGTAATACTATTTCTAGAAGTAATACTAGTATATATTAGGGATATAGTTATCGATCTATAGTTAAAATCGTAACTAGTTTAGAAGACTACTATTTATAATTTTATACGCTTCTAAGCTAATCGATATTACTTAGTAATAAGACTTTATAGATAGTATAGTAACTCGTTAAATTGCCTATAGGTACCCTAGAGGCGAGTAAATAGATAGAGTATATTATTCTTAGTAGAGGCCTCTATTACGTTACTATACTGCTTCTTACTAATATCTAAGAACTATATAAGGTAGCTAGAGAGTAAGAAGTTGCCTTTAATAGCGGTAATACCGCTCTTAAAATTCGAGTAGTAGCCTTATTAAAGTTGTTATAGTAGGCATAGGATACGCCGGCCTAGTATATACTTCTAGTATCGTAGATACTTAAGATAATACTATACTATTCTAGACCTACTAATTCGTCCCTCGCGTAATAAGCCTTCGGCTAGTAAAGTTATATATATCTAAGTAAGAATAGTTAGTAACTACTAGTTAAAAAAGAATAGAGGGTAGCTATTATATAGTACTTATACGTATAAGTAGGGAATTATTCCTCCGCTTATAGATAGTCTATATCTAGGCGTACTTAGCCGACTATTCTCGAGTTATATAGTTATATAGGTCGTTATTCTTACTACGAGTTAAGGCGTTAAAACTTAAAAAGTCGCCTATATTATTAGAGGCTATACGTAATTAGTATGTAACTAGGCCGAGTAAAGCTAGGGTCCTAATGCCTTAGGTAGGGCTTAGCGCTTAGCGTTAGGCTAACTAGCCTACCTTCCTCCCTCTTCTCTTAGATCTCTATCGAATACTACACTAATTTACTACTACCCTATCTACCTACTAACATAACCCTTCTTATATAGTATTCGATCTACCCTTTAAGGGTAGTAGCTAGATAGTCCTTATTTTAAGCTTTTAGCGGTATAGCTACGAAAACTATCGATTTAACTATATTACGCCCGAAGAACGGGACCTATACGTACTATTCTATTAAAACAACCGTACTAATTATTAAGCAAGGCCTTCTATACGGCCTATTATACTAAATTAATCGTACTAAGCCGATATCTACTAATTCCGCTATATCCGTATCTTAAGGGCCTATAATATATTATCGGTGTTACCCCTTATTATAATAGCCGGCTTATTACGAAGCAATAACAACCGCGGCGCCGCTAGCAGCGCTAGCAATAACAACGCTAGTAGTACAGTTCCTGCTAAAGTGCCTACTAAAGAGCCTACTAGACTCTAGAGGGCCTACTAAAGAAGAACCTATAATTCTAGGTAATAATCTAGAATTGCCTATTAACGACATTCTTAATAACATTGTTAATCGAGGATATAGCTAACTAGCCTTTAGCCCTTAACTATTAGGGAGACTTTAAGAAGCTACTTAAAACAGGCTTACTGCCCTACGCTAAGAGTAATAGCTAAAGGACGACCTCCTCGAACTTCGCCGCCTTTAAGAAGCCCCGACAACTAAACTAGTAGTAGGGCCTTCCTTACTACTAGTCTAAAAGAAGGATGCTAAGCTTAAGGACTATACCGTGTTTAACGGCTCTAGTCGTAAGCAATATAACGACTACATTCGTAACTATAAGCTTAACTAGCGCAATATACTAAGAGCGCTACTAGACGACTATTCCTTAGTCGTATACGCTATATAGTATATTAATAGCGACCTAAAGCGCACATAGGATAACTATTTCGACTCCCTCGACGACTAGACCGCTATTTAGTAGCAGACCTACAAAACTATTATACTAGATACCCTTAGAAACCCTATACTAAGGCAACAATATACTTAGGACCTACATCTTCGAGCTAAATAGAAGACTAATTAATCGGCTCGCTTATTCGAGGCCTATTTAAAGACCCTCGAGGATAACCTTCCGGCTAAGACTAATTCTATATAGATCTCGGAAATACGCTATAAGCTTAGGTAGGAGCTTATTCTCGAATTAGACCGCCGTCGCGTATTCGAATAGGCTAATCTAATACGTATTCAATTTATAGTCGAAGTAGAAACAGCTAAACGAGCTATTTAGCTTTAATAACGACTAGAATCGAGGATCCGACTAGCTAGTACTAACCGCGGTAACCGTAGTACCTACGGAGGAAACTAAGGTTCTTACTAAGATAACAATACTAACAATAGGAATAGTAACGACCGTAGAAGAGGCCGTAGCCGGCGGCTATATAGAGGAGGCCGCGATAGGGGTCGTAGAAGGGGCTCGTATCCCTATAATACTAACCGCTCGGCTAATAATAGCAACAATAGCTACGGTAACCTACTAACCGGATTGAAGTGCTTTAACTGTAATAGCACTAGCTATCTCCTAGGCTAATGCGATAAACCTAGGGATTAGGCCCGGATTAACCGTACTTCCGCTAAGTATAAGAAACACCTTTTAGTAGCTAATGCTACCTCTATAGGCTAACCTTCGAAAAAAGAATAAGCGCCGTACTAACTGTTAGCCTTATACGGCGTAAGACTATCGACATTATACTAGCTATTATACGCACCTGTCTCGTATCGGACTTGTATAGCACTAATTATAAGACTAAGGTTATGCTAGATCTAGGGAATTTAGTTAGTGCCCTTATTAGCTATCGCCTAGCTAAGCAATTAGATCTTCGACAATTGCCTAGGACTAACCTACTAACCCTTGCTTAGTTTAATAACGCTCGGCACTTAACCTATAGGGCCTACTATGTTCCTATAGTCCTAAAGGACGACCTCGGAAATAAACGCCTACTAGACTTTACTATCTATATAGTAGATATAGATAGCCTTCCCTCCGATATCGTTATTAGCAACCCTATTCTTAAATACTACGCTATAGTTATAGACTTAGGCATCTAGAAGTAGCGATTTAGAATCGCTAGGAAAGAGGATATTAAGTATATCGATATTAGCGAGTGCCCTAATAATATTAGGGTCCTATTTATTAGTAACCTAACTCTAGCTAATCCGACTGCCGACCTACTTAGTAGTAATAACGATAAACCTATACCTCCTAATAGCATAGACCCTAACTAGCTCGCTCGTATACCCTAGACTATTAGGGAGACCTATATCGAGGTATTTAAACACTACCTAGCATCGACATTGCCTATATTTAAAAAGACGGATTATAAGATTAACATTATAGAGGGTAAAGAGGTCCCTTTTAGGCCCCTCTACAACCTTAGTAAACGAGAGCTTGCCGTATTACATAAGTACTTAGAAGAAAACCTAGCTAATAGCCGGATACGGTATAGTAACAGCCCTACTAGTACACCTATCCTATTTGTTCTAAAGAAGGATAGTAGCCTACGCCTCTATATCGATTATCGTAGGCTTAATACTATTACTATTAAAGATCGCTATCTACTTCCGCTTATTAATAAGACCCTCGACCGCCTTTCTAGCGTATACTTCTACACTATATTAGATATTAAGGATGTATACTATCGTATCTGTATTCGCAAGGGCGACGAATAGAAAACAGCCTTCCGTACCTGTTATAGCTATTTCGAGTATTTAGTTATACTGTTTAGACTAGCTAATACCCCTACAACATTCTAGTCCTATATTAATCGGGCCCTTTCGGGCCTATTAGACTACCTCTATATAGTTTACCTAGATAACATCCTAGTTTATACCTATTTACCTAACATTGTAGAGCACTAGGCTATAGTACGTAAGGTCCTCGACCGCCTACGAGCCTATAGCCTATATTACAAGCCTTCTAAATGCACCTTTGCTACTAAAGAGGTGTCCTTCCTTAGCTTCCTCGTATTAACCGAGGGTGTTAAGGCTAATCCTAATCGGATTAAAACGATTACTAAATAGCCTATTCCTACGTCTATTAAAGAGCTTCAATTATTCCTCGGTTTTGCTAATTTCTACCGCTGTTTTATTAAGGGCTATTCGAGGTATGTAATGCTATTAACTAAGCTTACTAAAACCAAGGCTAATCTATCTAGAGAGTTTAGATAGACTAATAAGACACAAGCCGCTTTTAACGGTCTAAAGAAACGATTTACTAAAGTCCCCTTATTATACTATTTCGTACTAAGCAAGCAGATCCGAATTAAGACTAACGCTTTATAGTTCGCTATATTAGCTATTATATTACAATAGGCTAATAACACCTATTAGTACCTAATTGCCTTCTTTTTACGGAAGATAATCGATATAGAGCGTCGATACGAGACCTACGAGTAAGAGCTCTTAGTAATCGTAGAAGCCTTTAAGTATTAGCGCTACTATCTTAATAGTGCTTAGTACACAATTTAGGTCTATATAGACTATAATAACCTCCGTAGTATTACTAAGGTTACTAGGGTTATAGGTCGATAGGCTAGATAGGCCGTCTATCCCGCTAGGTTTGATTTTAATATATTATACTAGCTAGGCGTAAGTAACCCTACCGATAGCCTATCGAGGCGACCTAATTACGATAGCGAGACCTAATATATCAATTCTTTGTTTCTAACCCTATAGTATAAGATTGCTATAGCCCGTATCGTTAATAAGTAAGCGTAGGATAAGCGGACTTCCGAACCCCGCGGCGGCAATAAATACTATAGCGGAGTTGTCGTTCTTCTAGTATACGTTAAAAGAAAGGACGTAGATCGCTCGAGCTATAACGACTCTATTAAAGATATTGCTATCTATAGCGATAGTACTATAGAAGAGGTTGCAGTTAATCCGGCTACTAGTACTATTAGATATATATAATGCGTACCTCGTTTAACGGCGAGGGTGCTATTAAATAACCTTACAAATAGGGATAGTTAATCGTTTATAGATAAGCTATTGCGTACTTAGTAGAGGGACGCCTTTGCTATCGAGCGTATTAATAGGCTTATAAGTAGACGGGCGACTCGATCTAGTAAGAGTAATAATAATTAGTCGATCGACGATAAGGGTTATTTAAAGTTTAAGGGTAGATACTATATCCCCGCTAAACATTCGATCCGATAAGAACTTCTTAAGCGACACTATAATAGTAAGCTTGCCGGTTACTATAGTATAGAGAGGTCGCACGAGCTACTATCGCGTATATACTACTAGCTAAATAGTAAGCGGGATATAAAGGACTACGTAAATACGTATACTATATACTAACGTATTAAGGTACCGAAGTATTAGCCTTTTAGCGAGTTATCCTTATTACTAATCCCCTATAAGCCATTTATAGAGCTTATAATAGACTTTATTATAGGCCTTCCGCCTACTAAGCGTAGAGATAGCAAGGACGTGTATAATACTATCCTTGTTATAGTAGATCGATTTACTAAAGGCGCTCGATATATCCCGGCGCGTAAGGATTAGACTGCTATTAATATAGCAGAGGCGCTATAGACTAACATCTTCTATACCTATTAGGGAACCCCTAAGGGGATAGTCTCCGATAGGGGCTCGATATTTATATCGCACTATTAGAGCGAAATATACCTATAGCTAAGACTAAAGCATCGGCTATTAACAGCCTTTTATCTATAGACTAACGGTTAAATAGAGAGACAGAATGCTACCTTATAGCAGTACCTACGCAGTTATATTAACGAGAATCCTAAGGATTAGGTCAATCTCCTATAGCCTATAGAATTCGTATATAACAATAGTATATACTTATTAACTAAGGTTTCACTATATATAGCTATAATAGGTTAAAACGCCGCGTTACTATAAGATCTATTTACCTCGCTCGAGGCCGAGCGTAAGGAAAGGGAAGCGCGTTAAGTACTAGAGACACTAGCGGCAATAGAACGTATCTAGAAGATGCGAGAAATCTATACTAAGATAGCTAAGAAGTTAATAAAGGCTTAAGAATACTAAAAGGCCTACTACGATAAGCGTTATATACTAATAACCTTTAAACAAGGCGATATAGTTATACTAAGCACTAAGAACCTCCGTATCCGCAAACACCTATCGCCTAATAGTAAAACAAGGCCTAAGCTCGTACCGAGATACATTAGCCTATTCCGCATTCGAGAAGCTAAGGGTATATAGGCTTACTAGTTATAGCTTCCTCCTTATTACACTATCTGTAATACCTTCTGTATATCCCTCCTTAAGCCGTACTACCTACGTAAAGGGGATGAGGCGCCTACCGAATCCGAGGACATACTAGCTAATAGTAAAGAGCTATAGTCTATAGAACGTATCCTAAAGTATCGGACTAGGTAGGGCAAGAAGGAGTACCTATTAAGATAGCAAGGCTATTTACCTAAATAGGACTTATAGGAGGCTAAAGACTCGTTTAAGGATATAACTAAGTTGTTAGATAAGTATTAGACTAGCATAAAGAACACGAAGAAGGCTAAGAGCTTATAATGCCTATAATGTTACTACTAAGCCTAGGATTAATGCTACCCCCGGGGTGCTTGTAAGAAGGGTATATTAGCAGGTAGATAGGGTAGTAGTAGGTACGAGTAGTATTCGATAGAGAACTAGGAGGAGAAGGAGGAAGGCAGGCTAGTTGGCCCAACGCTAAGCGCCAAGCCGTACCTAAGGCACCGAGACCCTAGCTTCACTCGAGCCAGTTACATACTAATCACGTGTAGCCTCTAACATACGCTTCCCTTCTAAAGGCCGCGCCCTCGTAGCCTTTCTATGTTCCAACCTCGACCTCCGTTGCTGCTGACTCAGCAAGTCTAATAAGCTGCTTAGCCGCGCTAAATTGAACACTTAACTACCTGATTATATAACTATGTCAAACCTTACTTTTAATACAATGTCCAATTCTAACTGCGCTATCCCTATATATAATGAACTATAAAGTGATATGTATCTATAAGAATTGAGGACCTTCGACTAATTACAATACGAGCGCGTCTTCCCTACTGCAATAGGTGGACGTACGAGGTATTGCAGCCCTGCCTCCGCTCTGCGTAATATCGTACCGAGTTCTTTGCGTCTACTCTTAAAAGACCTAGCAATGTCCGCTTCCGAGGGTTTATCCGTTCCGAGGGTTATTGTTCTTGTTGTTCGTAGTTTCGCTAGCCCTAATTGGCTAGGTTTGGCAGCCTTTAAGTGTCAATCTTATCTTATCTTTTCAAAAAACACAGCTCGTCTAGTTTCTATAGGTAAAGGCTATTATAAGTGTAGTAGTAGAGGTTCGCCTCGCTTAAAGGGTTAGATAGATCGAGGAGTAACCTATTGTCCGCAAGATCGACCCCGGCTAGCTTAGCTCTATAGTTTTTGCCCTTAGTTAGTTAGTCCATTAGTCGCTCAATCTTTTAACTTAGTCAAAGTTTTGACTTAGCCTTAAAGTTTTAATTAAACCTTTAACAGGCTCAAAGCTTTAATTAAAGTTTTGATTAAAGGTGCCTTAGGCTCGTAGTGTAGGTAAGGTTGTGCCCGCAGGCGTAGTAACAATAGCAAGTAATGTTGACAATGGCGGTGCTAGCCGTCTTAGCGCTAACTTTACCTTGCTTCTAATTTCCTTCTTCAACTAACAACAACTCGGCAATACCGTTACTAATATAGCCGTGTCCTTCCTTTTTTAAATAGCAATACACTCCGCAACACCGTCACTAATATAGGCGTATGCCGTTTCTTCCAATACACCGCCGGCACTATCCGCTGCGCGCGCGCCTTCGCCGATCGCTTAGGCCTCGAGGCCTCGTTAGAATAAGGGAACAAGAGGGGGACCTATAGGGCGCGTTAGTAAAGAGGTAGAATCCTTAAAAGAGCAGGCAATTAGTTGACGCGTTATAGCGCGCTTATTGACACTCGGTACGCGTTTACTATAGTAGTGTAGTCTTATTGTCCTTTGTTGCTAACAATAGCTTGCTTCTGATTAGTTAGCTAATAGCACCCCGGGGGTAGCATTGATCCTAGGCCTTAGTAGTAATATTATAAGCTTTTAGCCTTCTTCTTGTTCTTTACGCTAGTCTAATACTTATCCAACAACTCGGTTATATCCTTAAAGGAGTTTTCAGCTTCCTATAAGTCCTATTCTAGTGAATAGCCTTGCTATCTTAGCAGGTACTCCTTCTTGCCTTGCCTAGTCCGGTAGTTTAGGATACGTTCTATAGACTACAGCTCTTTACTATCCGCTAGTATGTCTTCGTGTTTAGTAGGGGCTTTATCCCCCTCGCGCAGGTAATATAGCTTAAGGAGGGATATATGGAAGGTGTTATAGATAGTGTAATAAGGAGGAAGCTACAACTGATAGGCCTGTGCGGAGGAGCCCTTAACTTCTCGAATACGGAATAGACCAATGTACCTTAGTGCCAGTTTAGGGCGTGTTTTGCTATTAGGTAATAGGTGTTTGCGGATACGGAGGTTCTTCGTACTAAGCATAACTATATCGCCTTGTTTAAAGGTCATTAGCGTATAGTGTTTGTTATAGTAGGCCTTCTAATAGGCCTAGGCCTTTACTAGTTTGTTAGCTATTATAGCGTGAATTTCTCGCATCTTTTAAACCCTCTTAATAGCCGCTAGCGTCTTAGGTGTTAGTACTTAACGCGCTTCCCTTTCCTTGCGCTCGGCCTCGAGCGAGGTAAATAGGTCTTATAGTAAGGCGGCGTTCTAGCCTATTATAGCTATATATAGTGAAACCTTAGTAGATGAGTGTACACTGTTGTTGTATACGAATTCTATAGGCTATAGGAGGTTGACCTAGTCGTTAGGGTTCTCGTTGATGTAACTGCGTAGGTACTGCTATAGGGTGGCATTCTGCCTCTCTGTTTGACCGTTAGTCTGTAGATAGAAGGCTGTTAATAGCCGATGCTTTAGTCTTAGCTATAGGCATATCTCGCTCTAATAATAGGATGTGAATGTCGTGCCCCGGTTAGAGACTATCCCCTTAGGGGTTCCCCAATAGATATAGAAGATGTTGCTCTACAGAGCCTCTGCTATGTTAATAGCAGTCCAATCCTTCCGTGCCGGGATATATCGAGCGCCTTTAGTAAACCGATCTACTATAACAAGGATAGTATCGAAGATGTCCTTGCTACCCCTACGTTTAGTAGGTAGAAGGCCTATAATAAAGTCCATTGTAAGCTCTACAAATAGCTTGTAAGGGATTAGTAATAAGGACAACTCGCTAAAAGGCTAATGTTTTGGTACCTTAACACGTTGATATACGGCACACGTGTTAACGTATTCCTTTATATCCCGCTTACTATTTAGCTAGTAGTATATGCGCGATAGTAGCTCGTACGACCTCTCTATGCTATAGTAACCGGCAAGCTTACTATTATAGTGTCGCTTAAGAAGCTCTTGTCGGATCGAATATTTAGCGGGGACATAGTATCTACCCTTAAACTTCAAATAACCTTTGTTATCGATCGACCAATTGTTACTCTTACTAGATCGAGTCTTTCGCCTACTTACAAGCTTGTCTATACGTTTAGCAGCAAAGGCGTCCCTCTACTAAGCCCGTAACAGCTTATCTATAAACGATTGACTATCCCTATTCGTAAGGTTATTTAATAGCACCCTCGCTATTAAACGAGGTACGCATTGTATACATCTAATAGCACTAGCAGCCGGATCAACTGCAGCAGTGCTATCGCTGTTACTGTATATAGCGATGTCGACTAGGGAGTTATTATAACTTCTCCTGTCTATATCCTTAATACGCACTGTCAATACAGTAAGAGCATTAACATGCTTTAAGCCGTCGCGGAGTCCGGTAAGCCGCTTATCCTACGCTTGCTTATTAATAATACGGGCTATAGCAATCTTATGCTATAGGGTTAGAAACAATAAATTAATAGATTGCTAAGTCCCGCTATCGTAATCAGGTCGCCTCGATAGGCTATTAGTAGGGTTACTCACGCCTAGCCGATATAATACATCAAAATCAAACCTAGCGAGGTAGACGGCCTATCTAGCCTATCGACCTATAACCCTAGTAACCTTCGTAATTCCACGGAGGTTGTTATAGTCCGTATAGACCTAAATGGTGTGCTGTGCACCATCGAGATAGTGCCTCTAATGCTTGAAGGCCTCGATAATAGCTAGGAGCTCTTACTCGTATGTCTCGTAGCGACGCTCTGTATCAATCATCTTCCTCGAGAAGAAGGCAATCGGGTGCTAGTAATTGTCATCAGCCTATTATAACATAATAGCTAATATAGCAAACTATAAAGCGTCAGTCTCAATACGGATCTGTTTGCTTAGTACGAAATAGTACAATAAGGGGACTTTAGTAAAGCGTCGCTTTAGACCGTTAAAAGCGGCTTGTGCTCTATCAGCCTATTTAAACTCTCTAGTCGGGTTAGCCTTGGTTTTAGTAAGCTTAGTCAGTAGCATTACGTGCCGCGAGTAACCTTCGATAAATCGACGGTAGAAGTTAGCAAAACCTAGGAATAATTGAAGCTCTTTAATACTAGTAGGCGTCGGCTACTCAGTAATAGTCTTAATCCGATTAGGATCAGCCTTAACACCCTCGGTTAATACGAGGAAGCCAAGGAAGGACACCTCTTTAGCAGCAAAGGTGCATTTAGAAGGCTTGCAATACAAGCTATAGGCCCTTAGGCGATCGAGTACCTTGCGGACTGCAGCCTAGTATTCCGCAATGTTAGGAGAGTGTGTGTAAACCAGGATATCATCTAGGTAAACTATACAGAGGTAATCTAATAGGCCTAATAGGGCCCGATTAATATAGGACTAGAATGTAGTAGGGGCATTAGCTAGCCTAAATGGCATAACTAAGTACTTAAAATAGCTATAGCGAGTACGAAAGGCTATCTTCTATTCATCGCCCTTGCGAATACGGATGCGGTAATAGGCGTCCTTAATGTCTAATGTAGTATAGTAGTAGGCACTAGAAAGGCGATCGAGGGTCTTATTAATAAGAGGAAGTAGACAACGATCTTTAATAGTAACAGCATTAAGCCTACGATAATCGATATATAGACGCAGGCTACTATCCTTCTTTAGTACGAACAGGATAGGTGTACTAGTAGGGCTATTGCTATACCGAATTCGACTATTAGCTAGGTTTTCCTCTAGGTACTTACGCAACACAGCAAGCTCTCGTTTACTAAGGTTATAGAGGGGGCCAAAAGGAACCTCCTTGCCCTCTATAATATCAATCTTATAATCCGTCTCTTTGAATATAGGCAATGTCGATGCTAGGTAGTGTTTGAACACATCGATGTAGGTCTCTCGAATAGGCTCTAGTATACGCTTAAGCTATTCAGGGTCTATGCCATTAGGGGGCACAGGTTCATCGTTATTACTACCGAGCAGGTCGGCAGTTAGATTAGCTGAGGCGGAGGCTAGTGTTAGGTTACTAATAAACAGGACCCTAATATCATTAGGACACTCGCTAATGTCGATGTGTTTAATGTCCTCTTTCCGAGCGATTCTAAAGCGCTATTGTTGGCTACCTAAGTCTATAACTATAGTATGGTACTTGAGAACAGGGTTGCTAATAACAATATCGGATAGGAGGCTGTCTATGTCTACCGCGTAGGCAGTAAAGTTTAGTAGGCGTTCATTTCCGAGGTCGTCTTTTAGAACTATAGGAACATAGTAGGCTCTATAGGTTAAGTGCCGAGCGTCATTAAACTAAGCAAGGGTTGGCAGGTCAGTCTTCGGCAGTTGTCGAAGGTCTAATTGCTTAGCTAGGTAATGGCTAATAAGGGCGCTAACTGAATTTCCGGGGTCTAGTATAACCTTTGTCTTATAGTTAGTATCGGGCCTAGATATAAGACAGGTACGTGTAATAGCTAGCACAATGTCGATAGTCTTACGCCGCACAAGGCCAACAGTTGGTGCGGCGCTTACTCTTTTTTCGACTAATAAGAAGGTTGGCCTATAGGGGTAGCGTTAGCTGCTAAAAGGTGCTTTCGGTGTTCGGCGGCAGCACGGTCGATTCGGGCCTAGTCCTTAGGTTTGTCGCATTAGCCTAGTAGATAGCTAGTGCTATTACAATTGAAGCACTTTAGTCCGGTTAGGGGATTGCTATAGCTGTTGCCGCTGTTGTTAGCCGAGCGATTAGTACTGTAGGGATACGAGCCCCTTCTACGGCCCCTATCGCGGCCTCCTCTGTATAGCCGCCGGCCACGGCTTCTTCCACGGTCGTTATTACTATTCCTATTGTCAGCATTGTTGTTTTGGTAGGACCCTTAGCTATTGCCTCCGCGGGCACTACGATTACCGCGGTTGGTACTAGCTAGTCGGATCCTCGATTCTAGTCGTTGCTAGAGCTAAACAGCCCGCTCGGCTATTTCCACTTCGACTATGAATTGAATACGTATTAGGTTGGCCTATTCAAACACACGGCGGCGGTCCAATTTAAGGACCAGTTCCTATCTCAGTTTAGGTCGTATCTTAGATATCTAGATGGAGTCGGTTTTAGGTAGTAAATCGTCCTCGAGGGTCTTTAAATAGGCCTCAAATAAGCGAGCCGATTAATTAGTCTTTTACTTGGCTCGAAGGTATTAGTCCTAAGCGTATTGTTACCTTAGTATAGGGTTTCTAAGGGTGTCTAATATGATGGTTTTGTAGGTTTGCTACTGAACAGCAGTCTAGTTATTAAGGGAATTAAAATGGTTATCCTAGGTGCGCTTTAGGTCGCTATTAATGTACTATATAGTATAGACGACTAGTGAATAGTCGTTTAGTAGAGCCCTAGGTGCGTTTCGTTGGTTAAGCTTACAGTTACGAATGTAGTCGTTGTATTACTTTCGACTAGAGCCATTAAACACGGTGCAGTCCTTGAGTTTAGCATCCTTCTTCTAGACTAGGACTAATAGTGAGGAAGGCCCTACTATCGGCTCAGTGTTGGTTGTTAGGGCCTCCTAAAGGCGGCGAATTTCGAGGAGATTATCCTTCAGCTATTGTTCTTGACGTAGGGCAGTAAGCCTGTTTTAGGTAGCTTCTTAAAGTCTCCCTACTAGTTGAGGACTAAAGGCTAGTTAGCTATATCGACGATTAACAATATTATTAAGAATGTCGTCGACAGGCAATTCTAGGTCGTCACCTAGAACTATAGGTTCTTCGGCAGGCCTAGTAGCAGGCTCTTTAGCAGGCACCTTAGCAGGTGCTTTAGCAGGCACTTTAGTAGGTACTGTGCCACTAGCATTGTTATTGCTAGCGCTGCTAGCGGCAGCACGGTTGTTGTTTCGTAATAAACCGGCTATTGTAAGGGGCGACACTAATAATGTATTATTAGCCCCTAAGATACGGATGTAGCGGAATTAGTGGATATCGGCTTAGTATACTTAACTCAGTATAATAGGCCGTATAGAAGGCCTTGCTTAATGATTGGTACGGTTGTTTTAGTAGAATGGTACGTATAGGTCCCGTTCTTCGGGCGCAATATAGTTAGATTAGTTATTGTAGCTACACCGCTAAAAGCTTGAAATAAGGACTATCTAGCTACTACCCTCAAAGGGTGGATCGAATACTATATAAGAAGGGTATATTAGCAGGTAGATAGGGTGGTAGTGGGTACGAGTAGTATTCGATAGAGAACTAGGAGGAGAAGGAGGAAGGCAGGCCAGTTAGCCCAACGCCAAGCGCCAAGCCGTGCCTAAGGCACCGAGACCCTAGCTTCACTCGAGCTAGTTACATACCAATCACGTGTAGCCTCTAACAGTGCTATTAGCTAACTAATTAGCTATAAGCAATTGTTAGCAAAGGATAATAAGACTACGCTAGTACGCTACGACGCGCCAATTAGTTACTACTCTTTTAAGGCTTCTACCTCTTTACTAATGCGCCCTATAAGACCCTTCCCCTAGTATTTAGATTCTCCTCTTATTCCTTTATTCTATCGAGGCCTAGGTAATCGGCGAGGGCGCGCGCGCGTATACGAGTAACGATAGTAATAATAATAGTATCGCGCTATAAGCTAGTAGTATACCGGCAGCCGACGCGCCTATATTAGTAACGGTATTGCGGAGTGTGTTACTAATTAAAGCGTTATCGGTCGAAGAAGGAATTAGGAGTAAGGTAAAGTTAGCGCTAAGACGACTAGCGCCGCTATTATTAACATTACTTACTATTGTCGCTACGCCTATAGATACAATCTTACCTATACTACGAGCTAGAGCGTACTATTAAGTTAAAAGAATAGCTATATTAAAGGTTTAATTAAAACTTTAAGGACAAGTTAAAACACTAAGGGCCGCTTAAAAGATTAAGCGACTAATAGACTAACTAAGGGCAAAAACTATAGAGCTAAGCTAGCTAGGGTCGATCTTACGAACAATAAGTTACTCCTCGATCTTTCCGACCCTTTAAGTAAAACAAACCTTAACTATTATACTTATAATAGCCTTTACCTATAGAAACTAGAAGAACTAAGTTTTTTAAAAAGATATAATTAGTTAATACTTAAAGGCTACTAAACCTAACTAATTAGGGCTAGTAAAACTACGATAGTAAATAATAGCCCTCGTAATAATAAGAACAACCCTCGGAAGCGGACATTTCTAGGTCTTTTAGAGTAGACGTAGAGAACTCGGAACGACATTACTTAGAACGGAGGTAGTACTATAATACCTCGTACGCCTACCTATTATAGTAGGGAAGGCGTGCTCGTATTATAATTAGTCGATAGTCCTTAATTCTTATAGTTATATATTACTTTATTATATACAAGGATAGCGTAGTTAGAGTTAGACATTGTACTAGAAGGTAAGGTTTAATATAGTTACATAATTAGGTAGTTAAGCGTTTAATTTAGCGCGGCTAAACAGCTTAGTTAATCTGCTAAGTTAGTAGTAGCGGAGATTAGATTAGAACATAGACAGGCTACGAGGGCGCGGCCTTTAGAAGGGAAGCGTATGTTAGAGGCTATACGTAATTAGTATATAACTAGGCCGAGTGAAGCTAGGGTCCTAATGCCTTAGGCAGGGCTTAGCGCTTAGCGTTAGGCTAACTAGCCTGCCTTCCTCCCTCTCCTTTTAGATCTCTATCGAATACTACACTAATTTACTACTACCCTATCTACCTACTAATATAACCCTTCTTATATATATTCTAATCTCTATCTCTTCCTTAGACTCTATATATAGTATAACCTATAATAGCTTCTTATAGCCCTTCTTATAGACGCCTTAGAGCGGAAATTTATTATTTACGTTAGATAGTCTATAACGAGTATCGTTAATAGAGGTAGGTATAAATCTATAGAAATATATCTTTAATAGCCTATTATCTAGACGCTAAGTTATAAAGAATAGACTATTATAGTTGCTATTCGCTAGGCTTACTATAACGACTCTAAGAAGCTATATAGCTAAGCGCTTATACGTAGACGACAGACGTTAGACAACACTATACTGCTTTCTAGTAGCATATATACTATAGGCCGCTATTTAATATTATTATTATACACTAGAAGGTTGAATATCTTCTAGTCTAGCTAATTAACCTCGTACGTATCGTCTAGTAGTATTAATTTACCGTACTTTATTAATTACTAAATACCTTCTTCTATAGCCTAGATAAACCCCCTTCTAATACTGTCCCTAGTATAGATACTAAATTCTTAGAAGTATAGGTTATATTTCTTTATAGTCTATAATAGCCTATAATTAAAGCTCTATATTGCCTCTCTTTTCTAGGGTTATAAAGCGCCTATTATAGTTATAATAAGGCAATTATTTAGCGGTATTTTATATAGTAGTAATATCGAGATAGGATATACCGAGATTGCCGCTATATTACTCCTATAAGGCGCTAAAGGTCCTTCTAGCCTACGGTAAGTTATCTATTTCTTTTATAACTTTATCTTTAGTATACTAGTATTAGTAGTATATCTTTCCGACTCTTCTAGCTATTAAAATAGTTAATATCGTATATATACTAACTAGTAGAGGTATAACGGCAAATACTAACTCTTCTAGTAGCTTTATAATTATAGTATTTAGCCTTAGTAATAAAGCCGATTTTATACTTCTTATTTAGTAGCTTAAATATACGCCTACCCTTAATACCTACTACTTCCTTACCTAGCTTATTATAGCGCTATTTTTCTATATAGTAGAAGTATAACTTCTCGTAACACAGGCCTATTTCTATATTAGGTATTGTTATAGATAGCTTTCTAATAGATTTATAGATATATTAGTTACTATATTGTCTCTAGACTAATTACTAGTTACTAGTGTCTATTTTAAAATCTTCTATAAGGTTAAATACTCGTTCTTAAAGCGACTAAAGGGCGCCGACGTCGTTAGGCGTTAATAGGTCTATTCTATTATATAGTATAGAGACTGTTAGAAGAGATAATTTAGACAGAATTTAAGATTAATAGAGGATATAGAAATACTAAGACTACAATTTGTACTAGGCTTAGCGGGGCTAGGTACTGCCGGAATTGCTAGCAACTCTGCTTGCCCCGTGCCACCCCTGCAGTTGCTGATATATAGCTAATCGATAAGAGCGCCTCCCCCGAAACGAATCAACGATGCTCTCGCCTTGCTTGCGATCGCGGCAGTCACCAATCATTGCTGCGGCGGCACGCGTCCAAGTGACCATCACACGATGATGACAGTGATCCTCGGCCTCTGCATGCAGTCGGATCGAAGTTACATGAGCAGCCCACGCCGCACCATGCTGTTCCGCTGGCCCCCTTAATCAGAAGATCACTGCCTATTATTTGGCCTTTCGTTTCGCCTCCCCCAGACCGAAACCGCTGAGCCCTTGCTTCGCCATGCCGACCTGTGCCTGCGCGCTTCTGGGTCCTCCCTGCAGTAGCATGCCCGCTGCCGCTCAGCCGGGCGCCCGCGGTCCAGCGCTACTGCACTGCACCTGCAGCTGCAGCCAGGTGTCCACACGGCGCCGAACCCTCCCCCCGGAGAGTTGAAGCTACCGGCACACTGCACTGCACACTCGTTGCCATTCATCATCATGCAATGCAGTAATACAACGCGAAAGCTGCCGTCCTCCATCATCAACGCGAAAAGATGGAATTCTGCTGATGGTGCACACTGCGCAGCTCATCTTTGAGGCCTCACAATTCGACCAGGCATCATCCCCGCGCCTTGCTCCTTCCAGCACGTGTTCCTCATCTAACCGATGTCAGTCAGTGCATGGAGTCTGGAGATCCAACATCACCGATGGTCCGATAACTGAGATAGCGCGTGGAGATTGGGAGGGGTCAATACGTGATGCAGCCTTGTCTTGCAGTGTGACAATTTGCGAATGGTTGGAGACAACCTGGGGCATCGTGACAGGAGCAGCGCCACTATGCTCTGGTTGACGGCGAGTCACTATGATACACTACTGCGCCCTTCTGACCACAAATTTGCCTCGTTTCATCCTGCAGCATCACGCAGCCTTAGCAGCTCAGCATGACGCGCGAACAAGCCTTGGTCATGGCCTCGCGGCATCGGATCTTCAGCGCTGTTGAGGAGAATCTTTCGCCGGCCTGTACCTGCATCTTGCATCTTGCAACTGTTGGAAAAAAAGGGCGGCGCGACAACGCCATGTACACATTAGCCGGACGGTAATTCGTGGCTACACTTAGGTTTTGGCTCCGGCATCATCGTTCGCCGCGCCTCTGCCATATCCGGCTTGGCCGCTTGGGATCGCGAGAGAGTTATACACGGCAACTGAGTTGTTCTTTGCACTACTGCACAATGCCAGCTCCCCAGACTGCATCCCAACTCCAACGCCACACACATGTACTGTATACATGCAGGATCCCATTGAAGCACCGCCTGCAAGCTGCGTAGCCAGGAGGCTCGCATCGTCCGGCTCCTGCAACGCATAAGCGACTGACTGCAGAAGCCCGTGTGAAGCATTTCTACCACCTCACACTTCAGAATATGAGTAGTGCCGGGCGAAAGACGGACACTATACCCTAGGCAAAGGCTGATTTCAAAGCCCGAGGGCAGGAACCGGCAATTTGGACTGTCGGGAAAGAATATAGTCTAGCAGGGTGCAGCGAAGGACCCAAAAGCAGGACTGTCTCGGAGCGGATAGAAGGCCTAGCGGATCGTTGTGTTTTATAAAGTCGCTACTGCTAGCTAGTACTAAGATTTAAGACTGTTTAGCTTCTAAGAGAATTAGTATAATTGCTAGATCCGTAGAGGACCTAGTAGTATAGAGGTAGTATAGCTTTATCCTTAACTAGACTAGTAGTCTAGACTCTAGTACTAGAAGTATTTTTAAGTAGATCTATTAAATAGGCTGCTTTATAGTCTATCTAGTAGTAGAGATACTATAGCTAGATATTAAATTTAAGTATAAAAATAATAACTTAATATATATATATATATAAATTAGATTAGATTTTCATACTTAACAACTAAGTCTACTATTCTCATAGAGGCGTGAAAAACACTAGTACTATAGAAAATATATAGCCTATAGTATAAAGTCTTTTAGTTTAATAAAATTTAAAATAAAAGCTTATAGCTATTTAGAAATATTATATAATAAGCGAACAATATCAAGGTATATTGCTTAAATAATCCCTAGTTTCCTAAGATCTGTCTAGCATACGAGGGCAGGTACCGCAATACACGGCGAGTTACGCCTAGGCTATAGGAAAGGCTAATTTCCGGAGAACTTGCTAGGAGGAAATATATAGTTGCGGAACCCAGTAAAGAGCGACTCGACCGGACTATTAGATGCTATCGTACAATAATGCCGCTGATTCTAGGCATGAGGGTGAGGGTGAGGGTGAGGGTGAGATACGATGTAAGCATCGGGGAAGTTGCCTTATATTCCTTTCGCCCTTGTTGTAGCCACTGGAAGATGACCACGTCAAGTATCCGGATAAAAAGTGGCCGACCATCGGACAAATACTTCGGATTTCTCGACAAGTCGGGTAGCGGACCACGCCATGCACGTCAAACATCAATCGCGCAAATTCTTTACTGCACAACACCTGTACACTTCAGGTTCAACAACAAGGTCTCCAACATCGCTTAGAGCACTTGCATTTGACTCGAGTCAAGGCCGACATTTGCGCAATCTAAGCGACTTCTGAGGCACTGCAAAACGCAGGGACAAACTTGAGTCAGGCCTGGCAGCTGCATGGTCGAAACGATCAGATCTCGATATGGCGCAAAATGAAAGCAATAAACCTACGACGCAGTCCATAATAACGGCCGCAGACGATTCTGCAATTTCCAACCCTCATCGGGATGCTGATGACTTCGTTGAGGCCATGTCAGCGCAAATGCCGCCTGGCATGCGGACACGAGAACAAAAGTCCGCAGATGAGGTACTCAAGGAGCTGAATCGTGTTCCGCTGTTCATGACTTCGCTGGACGAGACGGACGGCGAAGGTGGCGAAAATGTCATGTTAGAAGCTATCAAAGCTCTTGCATATGAAGGTACCAAAGCTGAAGTCGCTGCAAACTTCAGGGAGCAAGGCAATGAGCAGGCTAGAGCCAAAAACTGGAAAGATGCTCGTGACTTCTATACGCAAGCTATCCAGACCCTTCGTGGCACCCTGAAGACTACAGAAGCAGAGCCGGATGCTTCTGTCAAGGTCATCGAGATCGATGAGGAGGCTGAGGCGAAAAAGGAACGCGAACATGAGGAAGCATGTCTCGTCAATAGAGCGCTCTGTAACCTCGAGATGAGTATCGCTGCCCGAATCAAGAATACGTTCCTACACCACGCATCACGACTGACCAAACGACAATCACAGAAAACTACGGATCGTGCAACACGGATTGTGCTGCAGCACTTCGACTCAACCCAAAGAATGCAAAGGCCTGGTATCGAGCGGCGTCAGCTTGTCTGGCTCTAGACAAGATACCCGAAGCCCTGGATGCTTGCACTTCCGGCTTGCAATTTGACGCAAGCAACGCTGCGCTCAAATCCCTGCTAACAGCCACCGAGAAGCGCCGGGATTATATCACCAACCTCCAACGTGAGCGTGCCGCACGTAAGGAGCGCACACGAAGCGAACAGGCGACGCTCCGGCTGGCGCTCAAATCCCGTAATATTCTGAGTCGTGAAACGGAGAGTCCGCCTGAGATGGAAGATGCGAAAATATCACTTGCGGATGCTAACGATCCTTGTTCGGTCTTGTCGTTCCCGGTGTTGTTTCTGTATCCTTTACATGCTCAGACGGATTTCATTAAGGCATTTCAGGAGAACGAGACGTTGCTTGAGCATCTCCAGTACATCCTGCCTGTACCTTGGGATGAGAAACAGGAATACTCGGATGCCCAGGTGGTCGAGTGCTACATGGAGACTGTGCAGGGAGGATTAATCAAGGCTGGGAAGAAGCTCAGTCTAATGAAACTTCTCGGCAGCGGTAAGCTCGAGATCGTAGACGGTCTAGTGCGAGTCTACGTTGTACCAAAGGCTAGGGCTTCGGAGTGGATCGAGCAATTCAAAGCTCGACGTAGTAGGAGCATGTAGTAAGCGTTGGTCCAGCTAGTCGTCGTGCCAGTCGAGGAGTCTACGCTTCGGACAGCTCTGACCGTAACCGTTTCACCATGTGCATGGACAAGGACTATACTGTATGTACAGTATTGTAGAACTAATCCTGGACCGGCTCTCTGCCCTTCACCGGTTGTCAGCCGGATATATAATACCCGCCTGCCGGCGCATGTCTGTAGTGACATGCAGAACGTCCCTGGAAATCTTCTCCAACTCGCCAAGAGCCCGTTCATCGTTCTGATCTATTATTCTGGCGAACTCAAGCGCTTCCTCCTCCATATTCACATTCGGCTTCTCCACAGTCTTATACGGACCCGCCAATTCCTCGGTTTGCTTCGTCTTAGGGTTCCAATGCGCGAGCGTACTGATATCGGTAGTAGCATTGATCGTAATGGTTCCTTTCTGACCATAGATTTCGCAAGGAGCAGTGCTTTGGTATGCTTTGGAGGCATTGATCTGCACCCCAAAACTTTCGTACTGCAGGATCCCAACACCTCCAGCATCGACTCCTGTATGGCACTTCACAGGCACGTAGATCTGAGATTTCGGTCTTCCAAACAGCGCAACGGCAAATGCCACCGGGTACACCCCAATGTCCACGAGGCTGCCACCTGAGAACTTGAGCGAGAAGATATTCGGCTCTTCGCCGGCGAGCACATTGTTGTATCGGCTACTGTAAGCAGCATATTGAAAACTTGCTCCATAGATCGGACCCAGCCTCTTCTCTTCATTTACAAGCTTTTGGAGCTTCTTGTAGTTGGCTTCCTGGATATGTCTGTATGCCTCGATGAGGTAAACGCCTTGCTCTTTCCCTATCCTGAACAGATCATCCAGCTCTGCTACAGTCGAAGTGGCTGGCTTCTCGAGAATGACATGCTTCTTGGCTTGCAATGCTTGCTTCGCCTGCTCGTAATGGAGGTTGTTTGGTGAGGCGATGTAAATGGCTTGCAGATCGTTGTCTGAGAAGAGCTTGTCGAGCGAAGTGTAGAGCTTGGTCGCTCCGTGTTTGGATGCAAACTTCTCAGCCTGGTCGTGTGTTCTCGAGTATACAGCATGCAGCTGCCACTTGCCAGTTTTCTTTGCAGCCAGGATCCACGAATCCGTAATCCAATTCGTGCCGATTATCCCGTACTTGATGGCCATGGTGCTGTGGTCGGGTGGCGGCGCGAATGTTTCGAAATATGGGAGATGTGAGGGCAATGGCGTAGATTGTCGTGGAAAGAAATGTCACCAGGCGAGCCACAGCCGACGGCTTCGACATCCGCCCGCAACTCTGTGGGCGGGCACATCTGGAGTTCTGCACACGCGCGCCACAGACATCATCATCTTCCAGGCCAGGCCAGCAGAGTTGAAAACAGCTCGTCATATTTCGGCTGCAGCAACACGCGCGTCCTGCGAGGAAAAGTGGCCTACGATCACTGTTGAGCACGCCGTGCGACCTGGTGAAGGTGGGACACGAAACCCCTTGCCCGTGCCGTGCGGCGGTAGTCTGTCCACACCCTTGCCTTGCCTTGTACTCGTTGCTGAGCTGTCAACGTGAGCCTGGCATAGGCCAATATTTTCTTTCTTCACTTCATCTGCTCACGAGGGCAATTTCGTGAGCTCGCCAGCACACCCAGACCAGCCACCGGCAGCTCAATGCGGCTGAAGGAGCAAACAGGTGGAGATGTTCATGACAGGCGTCTTTTCTGGTGTGTATCTGCTTTCTTCCTGCGTGAACGTGCATGTGTTACTTGGCCGCTGTGCTCGAATCCTGAGTAAGGCACAAGGCATGAAGGCATGAAGGCATGAAGGCGAGGTATGGCATGGCATGGCATGGCATGGCATGGCATGCAGCCCAGTGTGGAAGTCACAGCAATCCGCAAGCGAGACAGCTGCCGTTTCCGCCTCGCCGTGAGCAATCAACAATCATGTCAAACAGGCCGACATTGCCCGCCAATGCCCAGCACTCTTTGACATCAGACGGCCATTTCTTACAAGGCATGCCGCCATTGACGCAGCTCAAACATGGTGCGAGTGCCTTGGTTCGTCGGTGGCACCAGGACATCGCTCAAGAAATACGAGGGCAAGAGCATACAGTGTTCGAAGCATGTGATATGACTGCAGCTGACATCTTCGATAAAGGCGCGGGTCTGAACAGTACTGATCCCGAAACCGAGCGCGATCCTCCAGCACCGCCAACACCTGTCTCTTTTCCGGATCGGAGAGCGGCTCCTGTTCGCACATGGGACGGATCCTCGCCGCCACCGAGGCTGCAGCCTCTTTTCGCGCGAATCGTGAAGCCTGCCGACATTTCCGCGAGCCACATTGAGGCTCTGAACATCGAACTGATAGAACCATGCCCTCCGGAAGAACTGCTTCCCTTGGCCTCAGATGGCAGCTCGTACTTTCCGCCTCTTACTCCAAACCAGGCAACAAATGCCGCCTCCTACGCGGACGTCACCAGGCTTGATGCCAATGTCGCCCGCAAATGCAAGGAGTTTGATGAGAAGTTGGCAGAACTCCGACTGGAAAATGACTTGGGCTTCCGTGTCATCAACAGAACCACTCAACCCGGCGTCAAGCCTCCCAGGCTAGCCTACCTACGAAAGTTCTGGGAAGGCCTTGAGTCCGTTGCACAGTACTGGGACACGAGCCTTGACCACTACTACGACGGTCTGCCGCCCAATCCCGACATTGATGGCGAGAAAGATGCCAAGCGACAGCGACTTGATTCCCACTTCAGCCAACCTTCGATCTTGACTTTGCAGACAGCATCCGCGAAGCCCAATACAGCCCATGCAAATTCTAAACAGACCGATGGCAATGGGCAGCCCGAAGCTAACCATGCTCACGACAGTGCACCACCAAACAATACCGCCACCCAGTTGAACGGCGTGGACAAGGACAGTGAACGAGCATCCAGATCAAACAGCGCCACGCCAGAGCCTCGCTTATGTCCTCGTTATAAAGGTCGTCGAATGGGTTCCGGCCGTGAGATGCCAGACCAGTTTCGAGCGGAGGCAGTGAAAGCCTTCGTTGAGGGTGTTGTTTGGTCTTTCCAGGCTTCGGTAGCTGCACCGCGTCAAGTGCCCATTGTGCAGATCAACAAGCTTAATCTTCCTGTCCGGCAATCAGCAGCAGCCTATCGGGTACCCAAAGAGCGGGCCAAACAACGCCAAGGATGGCTCGAAGGTCCCATTCTTTGCGTCCAAGTCCGGTCAGAAACGGAGTTCGATGACTCTGCCTTGAGCGTGCAACAACGAGAGACTAAGTCGAGGCTCGACACGATGCGTGAGATTGGAGGACTACTCCAACTTGCCCAAGAAAGACAGCGGCAAGGTAAGGTAGAGCACCGGCCTGGCGAAGGCAAATGGTACACGATGAAGCCGCGGTGGGGAGGCGGTCTTGGCGGTGAAGTCGAGAACCCAGAACCACCAAATGAAGTCAAAGACGTGTTGGTCATGGCTGAAGAAATAGTCAGTGCATCCCGTGACAGCACGAAGCGGCCAAAGCGGAAAACACCGGCTATGCTATGGAAAGAACTCAGGCCTGGAAGCAAGCTATGGGATTCAAAAACTGAATACCAGGCTATTGGAAAGGAGCCAAGCAGCGACTACGACGAGGTAAGAAACATGCATCCGTTGTTACAAATGCCAAGGAAGACGTTTTTCCAGGAACCCTTACTGATGTACATTCATGTATAGGTGTTTATGGTGTCTTCTTTGAACCATCATATCTCAATTCTGAAGCTCACAGTTCACTGGGCATACCTGGAATACACGAAGACCGAGGAAATGCCTCAGCCTGTGCCCGAGGATGAGAATTGGTGCAGACCGAGGCTGCAACGGACGCAGTGGTACGACTTGCTTGACATTCAACAACGTGTCGAAGCTTTTAGAGCACTGTGGGGTATTATGTCGTACCTCATGAGAGAGGTGAACGAGCCTGCCAAGCCCGGTGCTGAAGAATTGCCAGAATCTTCTCGAGATACTGTTATGCAGGACTCTGAGCAGAGCCGTCGGCGTAATTCGTAGCTGGAACGTAGACGGCTTTCAATTTAGCGACGTGCAGAGCGACAGGCTGCATTTAGGACGGCTATGATGGGCCTTTCTGTATTATAAGTATGGCATTGAGGATGGAGAACGCCACTCAAGCGTCATCATACCGTCCGTCATGGCAGAGGGGAGTCGCATCTGGCATATACAGCATGGATCACGGAGTGCACTGGCGAATCGGACAAATAATAGCATAGAATTCAAGCACGGCATCATATTTCGCGCAGCACATCCTTCATCACGGCCTCAACTGAAACAACTTCCCAGCAACAGGCATCCACTCATCATTCCACCTCCGTCTCGTCTCCTTCATCGCCCCCTCCCTCAACCTTTTCAATTCCTCCCCATCCCCACCAAACAATTCCTCCAAAATCTCACTCAAACCTTCCGCACTCTCGAATCCCCTCCCATTTTCACCTTCTCGCACCAATTCCGGCCAAGCCTCGAATTTTCCCCATCCTGCTACAGGTAATCCCGTCCCGAACATATCTACGACTTTCATGGGAAGATCCACACCACTTGACGACGTATGTAATGAAAGTCCTAGATCTGCTGAGCCGAGTAATGCCGCGTATTGTTGGGGTGATAGCCAGGCTGTGGAGACGAGACAGTGATCTAATTTTCCCGCTTCGGTGAGGGAGCGGATTTTTTCGAGGTAGTATTCTCGTTGGGGGCCGCGGCCGGTTATGATTGCGATTATGTTTGGGAGGCTTTCGGTGAGTTCTACGGTGGATGAGTAGCGGACTAGTGCGTCGAGGAGGATTGAGAAGTCTTCGTCTGGGGTCCAGGATGTGGAGGATACGAGGAGGCGACAGGAACCGAGGAGGATTTCTTCGACGTAGTTTTGAGTGGCGGGAAGGTTGCGGAGAAGTGTTTCTCTCGCTTGGAGGGAAAGCGGTTGATAGATGTCTGCTGGTCGGTCGTGGAGTGGAAGGGCGTTATGGATGTTCCATTTCTCTCTTAGGACACGGGCCATGGCGTTCGTGACGGCGAAGTGGGCGTGGACTCCATGGGCTGAGAAAAATGATTCGTACCATTCGGAAACTTTAACGAGAGGGTGGGAGGCGCCAAGTTTGAGGGCGAGGATCGAGTAGCCAAAATTGTGCCAGTCGATCACGAGGCGTGTGTTTCGGAAGAAGCAGACGATTTGGCAGACTGCTAGAACTGGGATTGAGGGTGGGTTTTGAACGAGCATCCATTTTGAGGCTTGTGCGCGGTGGGCCAGGGCATGGTATAGAGTCCAGATTTGGTAGAGGGCTTTTAGCGGTGCTAGTATCAAGAACAGGAGCCGATTGCTGGTCTGCAGCTGTGGGGGTAGGGGCTCAATGGGAACAATGTTGATCATTCGATTTCGAAGAATGTCCGGGTGCATCTCAGCCCCAGTGTAGCCGATGATGTCCACAACACCGCCATGTTGTGCGATACTCAAGGCATGATATTGCATTCGCGGACTCCGACCAATATCTCCCAGAACAACGACCTGAACGCTAGCCTCGAATTTTAGCCGGCCGTCGCTGTTCTTGTTTCTCTGGAAGTATCCGTAGCCGGACTTCTCGGCATCTTCTCTATCCTTCTCGGAAAATGCTTCGGTGCTAAGAGATCTTGGATGGAAATGAGAATAGCTTGTCGGTAAAATGAAAAGCGAAACGGCGGTCGATACGGCGATCAACACACCCAGCACCAAGGAGATGTTCCAAGCTAGATCCCACCATGGCATTTTGCGGAGAGCAAGATGCGATCTGCTTCTTGCACAGAATCACTCACTCAGACTTTGCATGTTCTGATTCGGAATTCAAGTTGAAGTCGTCGAGACAAGGTTTGGGAGGGAGTTGTGCGGCGTCTGCGCAAGCAAACTTTCATGTGGGTGCGGCCCGGCCCGCAGGTATTCTAAACCGTAACGTTATGCAGGGCCCTCTGGCGATAGGGGAAACAAAGGAGTAAAGACACGAATGCGCCCATTGCTGTGCTTCTCCCGCCACTATCCGTCGCAGATTACGCCAACCGCCTACGTCGTCGGTCGTCTGGTATACGAGTCCTCACACAGAAGCACATGCGGTTTGGAGAGTAGGAAAAGGCGCCACTTGGAATGGAACAATAAGACGACTTGAAGCGTGGTGTGTTTCACAGCGAAACGAAGCCGAACATCAGCCAGCAGCAATGTCTGGCAGCTACACCTTTCCTCCCATCGAGGCGACCACCGCGCCCGGCACGCCATATTACACGCCTTCTCACAGCAGAGACAACTCGTATGCAAGCGTACATCACCTGTCGCCGAACAAAAAAGCAGGGTCGAACGGATACATGAACAGCAGTAGCAATGCGAATGGTCACGGCGGCAGCTACCATGTCAGGAAGGCTGGATCCAATCATGCCCTGCAAAACAGCTTGCATACACTGAGCGAAGTCAGCAACGAGACCACGCCTGTTGTGTCACCGTCAGAGGAGTTCAATCGCTCGCTAGACTTCAACTCGTTGGCGCACGTCGCAAACGGCCACGTCCATTCGCACTCGCACTCACGCAATCACCACCACCAACACCACCACCACGATCATCACTCGCACGCCCACAGTCACTCGCTCCCACTCCCACTCCCACTCCCTATGAAAGGCCGACCGCGAGGAGAATCCGACCTGGGCAGACCTCTACAGACATATCATCCAGCACTTGCCCCAGCTTCCAAACCATGGTTCTCTCTGCCAGAGGCGTTGACCAGCCTTTTAATACCGCTGCCATATTTGCTGGTGTCCGCCGCTTACGGTACGAGCAGCGCACTCGAAGAGGATGGCCTCCCACCACTTTCCGCATATGCTCGATTGCAGAGGTCTGTGCTCGGAGAAGGTCAGCCTGGGCCTGAGAGTTTGGTGAGAAGAGGGAACAGCTTGGTGGAAGCATGTACGCTCACATCGGGTACTTTGCTTTTGGTGGGCATAATAGCGAAGATGCGCTCCTCGGAAAGAATGCTGGACAGGAGGAAGGATAAGGTGGAAGCGCTGCCTCGTTTAAATGGCCTTTTAACGACGGCATCTGTGCAAAAGATGGCCGTTCGAAGTCTGAGCGTAGGATTGCCGTACTATGCTGCAACACAAATCGGTGGCATGCGAACAGGCATTATGCTCCTAATAGCACTGGCATCTGGTCTTGCCAACACTGACGCGACGCCTCGAGCGACTCTTCACGATTGGAGGCACATCCTCACCTCGCGGATAGGCTCTCTTGCGGTAATAGTGCTAGCCATGCTGCTAGACTTTGGCGGTGTCACTTTTAGAGCATCCTTCAGCGACTTGCTCTTGGGATATCTGGCTCTGGCTTGCTCCATCTTTTTAATCTCACCTCCACTTCCATCGCTTGGATCCGGGGTTACATCTCAGCCCTCGAGCGCCATCACTCCCACCACCCCTGTCAGCTATCGCAATTCTTGGAAGCAGTACGCCTCCTCTCCACTGGTATCTTCAGTCAGCGATGTCAACATTACTCTCGCAGCGGGTGCGGTATCCCTCGCATCCACGATCCTGGTGTCTGGGCTATTGTCTACATCGCCTCCCGTGTCCGTCTCCGCAGTCGCATTCAGCACTTTGGCAATTGCATCTTCCACAGCAGCGATACTCTTCGCGCAACCGTCAGCACTGCGGAGTCAATATAGAGCCGGCGTTGGGTTTAGTTGTTTCTTATTTGCGACATTTGCATTTCTCTTCTCGCCATCCCTCTGGCCAGGGACCATTTTCAACGGCGGTCTTTCTGCTTTATCGTTCATCGGCGTTTTGTACGATACATCCACGATCACGGCGCAGCAGCATCACGACACACATGTTCATGAGCATGCAAATAACGCGCATACGCACCATCACCACGATGGTAATGGCTCGGCTATAACGAGATATATTATGGATAAATGCGAGCCGGGCTCGCTGATTTACGGCATTTTGAGCGAAAAGGATTCTAGGCGGATTGCCTACTTTACATGGTGAGCTCGAGGGTCCATCAAGGCTTACCTGTACGAAGCAAAGGAAATGACTGACTTGAGAATAGTCTGAATTTTGCCTTCATGATTGTACAAGGCATATATGGTTACCTGAGTGGCTCCTTAGGTCTTCTCAGTGATACGGTACACATGTTCTTCGATTGTCTTGGGCTGATCGTTGGCCTTGGTGCTGCCGTCGCGTCCAAGTGGCCTACCAGCCCTGGAATGCCGTATGGCTGGGGCAAGCTGAACACTCTTGCTGGATTCGGTAATGGCATCTTTCTCATGCTTGTCAGTACTGAGTTTGTCTGGGAGGCCATGGAAGGAATCGCCGAGCAGAAAGAGCTGCGACACGTTCAAGAATTGCTCGTAGTCAGCACTCTTGGCTTCCTTGTGAACATGGTTGGCTTGTTCGCCTTTGGACACGCTCATGCCGGCCACGATCATGGACATGGACATGGGCACTCTCACGATCATGCACACGAGCATCCACACGAGCATTCACACGAGCATTCACACAGTCACGCTCAGGATCATTCACAATCGCACTCACACTCACACAGCCATGAGAACTCCCTCGACCAACATCACAGCCATGGCCATTCTCACGCGCACGCGCGGCATACTTCTGTGACATCCATACATAGTCACAAGAGCTCAAATGGTACCAACGGCGACATACATGGATACTGCGACCACACACATGACAAGGCAGCCCCTAGTCACGACCACGCTCATGATCATCGCAACGATAACATGCACGGCATCTTCCTTCACGTGGCAGCAGATGCTGGAGGATCGGCAGCTGTCATCATCAGCACTGCTCTGACGCTATGGAAGCCGTGGTATCTCTGGGACCCTCTGGCTACCATCCTCATCGCCATACTCATCTTCGCGGCCGCTGTACCCTTAGTAGTCTCATCAGGGCAGAAACTCCTACTGGTCATTCCAGACCAGCTTGAGTACAGCATCAAGAATACATTGCAGGAGCTCGGCGAAATGCGAGGCGTTGTTGGATATGCCGTTCCTCGATTCTGGATAGATGACAAAGAGGACACCGACTCGCATGGGCACCATCATCATGGACATGACCACGGCGGCGGTGGTGGCTCTTCCACCGTGCAAGGCGTCATACATATCATTGCGAACCCTGCTGCAGATGTAGATGATGTGCGGCATAGGGTGGACGAGTTCCTGAAGCATCGACAAATGAATTGTGTCATCCATGTCGAGCGAGAAGGAGATCATTCTTGCTGGTGTGGAGGTGGACCGGGCAGTCGATGATTGTATTTATGATTGTATTGATAGTGCATACATACTTCTTTGACGACATTGTATGAACCGGTACATTATGCCGTCGAGTTCGACCTGGGCATCCCGACCTGTGAACCCCATAATTCCTAGTCTTTTCTGAAGGTCTATACGTAGGATCTGCGAGTGACTTGGACCGTCAGGTCTATGCCACCACGGCCGAGCCGGATTGAGGTGTTGTTTCTCGGTCCGCAAGCAGAGATCGCGATATCTGCATATTGGCACTTCTAAAGTGACGGAGTCGACATGGAGACTGGCTGAGCTTCTATCATCGAGACAATGAATTCTTGATTCTATTTATCGTCAAGAGCCAAGGGTATTTGGCTGGCGTCTATGCCATCTTCCTCCGTAGAGTAGGCGACATTTCAATTCTTACAATCACGCTTCGAACTTCCAGACTTCCATCATGAACTGCACACCCGTACTATACAGCCGGCTCTTCGTTTCCCAATCCCAGAGTGGAGATCCATCACGAACAATCCCATATTGCTTGGCGAACACACCTATCACCGACCTTCGAAAACGACTTAATCCGCACCAGCGGTGACTAGCGTACGCTTAGCTTTCTTCGAATTCTTCGGCGTCTCAGAAGCTGACTCCCGCTTGCGCTTGCCGGTATTTGACTCGACAGGAGTAGGAGGTCCATTGACAAGCTGACGGCGATTAAGCTCTGGGGATGCCGAAGGTGGAGCTGGTGGTCGGTACAGAGGTATGCTTTCAACATTAGTCTTCGAAGCGCCGGGCGGCGTCTGAACAGCTTCCTGGTGACCATTGACAGCAGAATCCTCGATGGATGGTAGAGCACTAGATGAGTCCTGTCTAGGGTGGCTCGCTTCCAGGACTTGAGTTGGCTTGATGTTTTCTTGCGCCATGCTCTCCGGAGGCTGTATGGCGGGAGCTTCTGTCGAGGATTCATCCTGCTTCTGGACTTGTCGGCTCTCGGATGTGTCGCTACCCACTAACGAAATGCCGGAATCCACACCATCGTCCGGTCTAGATGAGTCTGAAGGGAGGCCATTGGACATTGGTGCAATTGCATCTGGATTGTAGACGTGGACATTGTCATCCGGATCGTGCGTGTAGTCGTCATGCGAAGTCATATCCAGGACTTCGCTCGCGATCTGGTCAAGAGATGGCAATGATCCATACAGTCCCGGTCGCTCCGCTGATGAATACGCATAGCTGCTGTCATAATGCCCATGGTCGCCATGGTCAGAGTAAGCAAACAGAGTTGGATCTATTGGTGGATGGCTGGACTGATGTTCGTGCGATGAGTGTTGGGAATCTTCGTGATGAATCGTCTGTGACTCGTATGAATGCGAAGGATAGGTCGAGACTGTTGGAGGCGGCTGTGGCGAATGCGATGGATATGTTGAGACTGTTGCAGTCGGCTGTGGTGCATGGGCTTGCTGGGTCACGGCGGGCCCTTGGTGGTAAGATGGCGCCATGGGCACATTCTCGGTGGGTAAAGCTGCCTTCAGCTTCTTCTTAGGTTGGATTGGAGTGCTCTCCTCGCCAGGCGGTCGCTTTTTCGAAGCATTTGAACCTCGAGGGACAGGCGTCTCAGCTGCTTTGATGGGATCCACGTTGCCATTCTCGTCGTGGACGCAGCGTCGCTAGACCATCGTCAGCCAGGATTTCCACATTGATAGCTTAGCAGAATGCCTACCTTTGACTTCCTGCACTCGAAACAGGCCTTGGTTCGACCTCGCTTCTGAGCTTCGCCAAAGATCGGCACCCCATTCATTGTCATGGGAATATTCGCATTGATATATGCATTTGTGCCTGGCAGAGGCCCGTTGCCATTGATGCCATTTTGATGCGATCCATTGGAATCTGGGGCAAAATGATGGTTAGTCTTGGGTGGCGTGACAGTGATGTTCTCGTCGAGGTCCTGACTACTGCTCAATGGCGCACCTGGTGTCATCTGCTGGAGAGCCCCTGGACTCTGAATATCCCCCATCATGGTCACAATGTCCTTGTGCTTGCAGCGGATTCGACGCTTCCTGCATGCATCACATGCAACGCGCTTGGGCCCCAGTACAGAAGTTTTCGGGGTGCTCAAATGCTGACCGGGCATCGGGTTCATCATAAAAGCCATCGGAGGCGCGACCGCGGATGCCGTGGCGGCCATATCTTGATGCGCATGCGTGTGGTCGGATGTGGCGGTCGTGGGTGCTTGTTGACGTGATGGAGCAAAACTTGTCGCGCGATCAGGAGTGGCAGCACTTGCCACAACGCTATTGCTCGGATTCGGCACGCTAGTAGTCCTAGCGGCGGCGACGGCGGCAGCGGCATTCCGGACGCGCTCGCTCTGTCTGTCCGGCGCAACCCGCCATGCAGCGATGGCTTCTTTGCGCTCCATCTCCTTGAGCGCTCGCTGCGAAAATTTCTTGGGCGCGCCTTCTTCTTTGCTGTTCGGCAGGACGGCGTCAGGGTGCGCCCAGGCGGGAGGATCCTCGTTTCCGCGCTTCCATGCGACCCACAGGGCAAAGGTCTTGGCGATCTCAAGCGGCTCACCATGCCCTTTTGGGATGGATGCATTGACGCGCTTCATGCGGTCGGCCGTGACGCCTTCAATGCGCCCCAAGACCAGCATGACGGTGCGGAAGATGAAGTTGACCAAGTCTGGCAGACCATCAAGCTCTGCTTGGCCGTAGTATCGCGCATTCTTGCCTCCTGCCCGTTCGTCCTTGGCCGCGATTTCGCCGTCGAAATCTGCCCACAGTGGTACCTGCCGGTCGTATCTCTTGCCGTCGTAGAATGCCTGTGATACCGCCTGCGGTAGAGGGTCATCCTTCAAATATTTGATTGCCGTATACCACATGATCTTCTGGAAGAATGGGTACCGAAACTTCATCGGCGTCTCGTTAGCTTTCTCAATCTCAGCCACCTTGAACTGATTCTGGAAAGACATTCGGTTCAAGAAATTGCCACCAATCACAAGACTGGTGGCAGGTGTCCAGACTGCGTGAATCCATCCGGATGGAATCAGCATCGTGTCGCCAGCGTGGAGGTCTACCCGGTAGCACTCTCCGGTAATGAGAGGCAGGAAAGTGTAGTTCTGTTCTGGACTGTCATTCCATTCCTCGTAGGCCTTCAGATGCTTCGCTTTCGGTGGGATGAAGAAGAACGTCTTCTTGCCTCGCAGGATGTGGTAGTACACACTGCTGCCCCCGAAATCGATGTGAAAATCGGTATAACTGTCCGCCGCAGACATGAGGCAGTAGTATTGCACCTTGGGCCACTTGCCTTTGTCTTTCTCTTCTTGTGGCCATACTTCATCTTGCAGGTCGATATCGCGCACGATCTTAGGTCGTCGCAACATCCGTCCAAGCTTTGATTGCGAGACCTCAAGAGAAATGACGTTCTGTATGGGTTTGTCGTCATTTTGTTCTTCGTAATAATCTGCCCATCTCCCGAGCGTCCATTTCGCTCCGGAATTCTGTGTTTTGACGTCGATCACATCAAGCGGTGTCTCTGGCCCAACCAGATTGCAGACTTGGCGAACGGTAAGATCTTCCGGCATTACCATGTCGAGCTTGTCCTGACCATCATCTTTCACAGTGTCATATTCGTACTCGTCGAGCGCAATGTCAGACATGGCATCGCCGTTCTCGGCTGACACGCTCTCTTGACCATCACGTTGACTTCGCTTTAGCCATGGTCGCGGATTAAATTCAGCTGGTATGCAGATGGGCTCGGTGAAGGTGCCACTCTTTTCAAAGAACTCTCTCGTCACCAATTCCGGCCGCATGCGAGGGAAGCTCTCAGGATCGAATTTAAATTTGCCGTCCTTGATTGGCTGAATGTAGTGGTGCTCCATGCTCTCTTCACTGGTCTTCAACACTCCGCGCTGCAGTTCGGAGTAATCAACTTGCGCATGAGCGCGTGTGCTCTTGCGCACGTAAGTAGTCTTTCCATGAGTCGGCTCGCAAGGTGCGCAGAAGAATTTGTCAACATCCCGCACTTCGCTGGCTTTCTTGAATCCAGCACAATCAATATGGAACCACTTCTTGCAACCATTGCAAGATACCCAGGCATCGACTTCCGGATTGGCCTTTGTGGTCTGTCTGGCAACCTCGCACCCGGCGCAAATGGTCTCAGACGTGACTTCCTTGGTTCTGCGATGAGTTTTGGAAGGCGACGCTGGTCGAATTACCATGGGTGTGTCAGGCGGGACAGATTGAGAACGAGTTCCAGCCTGTCCTGCCACAGATTTATGCTCGATCACAGTCGCCGAGCCATTGAAGCTCTTTCGACGATTGAGATTGGGTCGAAGGTCCCAATCAGTGCTGGTCTCTCGCGCTGCCTGCCTAGCAGCTCTGGATCGAGCAGAAGAGGACTTCTTCCGTGATGCCACCCTTCCAGACGCCGCCCTTTCTGCAATGCTCTTTCGTCCCGAAGAGGCACGCGATTTGCCTTTAGTGGAAGCTCGCTTCAGCTTACTCGTCGACTCTGATGTTTCACTTGCCGTTACGTCCATGCTGGTAGCGCGAGAGGTTTCTTCCTCCGGCCGGGAATGGGGATTTACATCTGCCAGGTGGACGTCACCCGGCGCGTCGAAGGCGTGGTCGCGATGTACACGAGCGTCATTTAGAGCATAATTGTTACGGTGCGGACTGGTCTGAAATCCCTCTGCAGTCTGTGTAGGGGGAGGAAGTGTTGGTCGCGGTTGTGCGCTATCCTGAGCATTGAAGGGAGGGAGCAGAGGAGTTTGAGCACCAAAGTTCATCGGCCGAGAATGCTGTGAGTCCTGGGGAAAGCTATTTGCATGCGGCCTTGGAGCTGTTGGAACATTCGCGGTCTGAAGTGGGCGCGACCCGTGACTGCTATGGCTTGTGGACCAGCCACTAGTTCGAAAGTTGAGTAACAATGCAGCTTCTTCAAGAGATCGATCGTGTGTATGTCCCGCATACGGCTGTTGACCAGCACCTCGCGCCCATCCTTGAGACTGTTCGTAGCTGGTGGCAGGTCGAGAGGCATACTGGCCAACCATTGGGGTATGATACACCTCCGACCGAGCGCGTTTGTGTGGTGGCTCGTGATGTCCATGACCATTCGTCGCAATTGGCACATGGCTGTAGCTATTGAAGGTGGGACTGGCGTGCGACGCATGCGACGGGCTCAACGCAAGCGCTGCTTCGGCCAAGGTGTCTATGGTGGAGGGAGTACGATGATGACCGCTCCTGTAGCTACCACTTCTATCTCTTCCCTCTGGCGTGGCCGTGAAAGGCTGCTCCGGGCGCACCTGGAAGTCCACATGGTTGTTGATGGCTGGGTAGTTGAAATGCGGCTCGATTGGTCTCGGTCTGGCTGGCGACAATGGCTCTACGAACTTGCGCGGTGGTGAGGGCGATCGGCCCGGGGACAGCGAGCCATTTGTCGGCCTCTTGAACGTTTTATTGTACTCCGAGAAGCTCATGTCCGCGGCGATGCGCACCCCGGCGAGAGAGCAGCGGAGCGGACGGAGGTGAGGGTTGAGGGTCGAACGACACCGCCAGTCGCCAGTCAAACGCGCTCACAATTTTGCAGACGAAGCTCTCATGCGCCAGTCACTCACATGGAAGTGCGAGTGAGGCTATGGGAGGTGTACAGCGTTGCGTTCGTGGGAGGGAGAGGCAGCGTAGTCGCGGGGCAAGCGGTGGGCGTAGGCGTGGGCGCCTCGGGTTAGGAAGCAAGCAAGGCGATCAAGCGTTGCGGTTGCAGATGTTGGCTTGCCCAAGACCCATGGTTTACGGAGGGCGAGGACAGCTCTGTTGGGTAGAATACGTGCGTCGCTTTCCTACAGTATAGATATGAAGTCGCGTCGTAGCGGCAGCGGCAGCCAAAGAGCACGTTCTGCAGCAAGGAGTCAATCCTCATTGTTACTGTACCTCCGCTCCGTTGCGGCATCCGGCAAGTACCGTGACCGTCCTGCCTGATCTGATTGCGATGCGCATGCGCCTCCGAAGCCACAACTTCGAGAAAGCTTCTCGACCCACGCCCAACCGCGACCCTCCTCTCGACCTCTCTCCAGCCTGAGACATTGTCGTAACTCGACCCATCCACATCCAGCAAACAAATCAGCCAAGGCATGGGCTCTCGTGGAAAACTCGCCCCCGAAGTAAATCGTTAGTTGCCCTCATTGCGCCTCGGACACCCACCCACCCAGCGCACGACCCTGGCCATCTCGAGGCGCCTATACTGACCAATGACCCCAGGAGCACTCTTCGTCAAGAACCTCAGCTACAACGTCACCACCGAAGAGCTTTTCGACCTCTTTGGCAAGTTTGGGCCCATTCGGTACGTTTGAACCACTTCCGCGCAGCCTCCGCCGAGGCCTCACGCGACCGCGGTACTACATATCTTGTCGCAGAGCGCGGGCACTGACTCGCATAACTTCGACAGACAAATCCGTCAAGGCATCGCTGCCAATACCAAGGGTACCGCTTTCGTCGTCTACGAAGATGTCATGGATGCGAAAGGCGCTTGCGACAAATTGAACGGCTTCAATTTTCAGAATCGTTATCTCGTCGTTCTCTACCACCAGCCAGAGAAGAGTGGGTTGATCATGAGACATATAGAACTGACGGCATGCTAATCTATCTTGCAGTGGCCAAGAGCCAACAGGATCTCGCCGAACGCCAGGAGAACTTAGAACGTCTCAAACGCGAGCATGGTATTCAGTAGAGGCGCGAGGGAGCTGTAGCAGGTGAGACCAAGGCTTCGACCGACCCTCACGAGTTGGTCAAGCGGAAGGATTCCGGTATGAGTGGCCTTACACCCAACAGTCCGGAAGCTGCAGCTCCCAAAGCGATCGACTTCGCAGTACAACCATCGAAGCCGAAGAAGAACATTCGAGACCCTTACGAGAAGCATGAAATACCCAAGACATTTGCGAGTACGACACCTAGGGCAACGGGTAGCATGGAGGCCCACAGAGCGGCGACATACCATCATCCGAATAAGGAGAATATGGGCATCTTGCGGCGTTTGAAGGATGCTGTGCCTGCCAAATTTGGTGGCAAGCAAGCATGATTTTTACTTTTCTATGGCATTTTGGACGAGGCGATCACGGCGCTGGAGGGCGTCAACGCTGGTACAACGGCTCAGACTGCTACGGCTGCAATATCACGATCGAATTGACAAGGTTAAGTGCTTACTCCGAACCACGACCTCACTCCCTGGGATCAAATTTCGTCTGCAGCGCCGAGCTCGGGTTCAACGACTTGGAGCGCGACTGCCTACGCAACCACAGTCATCCACCTCAGCTCCATCTCCACGGACTTCACCCTGTTCTCGAAACTCGCCCACTGAGCCCATGCCTTGATCACAATCTCATCTCCATTCCTCAACCCCTTACCCAATCCCTCTCTTCCCTTTCCTCACCATTCCTCTGCCAAATTACCTCCCTCGTCTCCTACATGTCCGAAGCAGGAGTATTACGAAATATCTCTCGCTCCTTGCCAACATCTGCCCCGTCTGCACGAAGAACCCTAGCAGTAAAATATGATCTTCCAATCCCTAAATCTAAACCGTGCTCTCGAGCAGTGATGCGGAACGTTACAGACACAATAGGCAAAATGACCCGTATTCTACAGCATATTGGCGGGGTTTGAGATATGTGAAGGATGATTGCTGGCGAGAAACTGCTAGTTCTAATTGTTTTGAAACGATGCTGGTCTCGTGAAGGCCTGCGTGATGAATTATGATGACGACTATTTCTGCGGGCAGGAGATGGCGGAGGATGAAGGCTATGTGGTATGTTTCTTTGCGAGTGTCTGGGAATGGTTTGTTTTCTTTGAGGTGATGGGATGTGTATGTCGAATGGTGGTTGTGTGGGTCTCGGGATGTTTGGGGCCAGTTTGTGTAGGTCAGCATTGGTATTGCCGGAGGATGAGGAAGGGCAGACATTGTGATCCGGGTATCCCCATTGAACCATAGAAATGTATGCAGATCAACTTCATGGAAGTGTGGTGGAGAAGACCTCGGAGAGATGTCGTCGCGAAAGTGAGGTCTGTGCTTGTGCTTCTTGGCAACCTTGAAGTGCCACGAAAGCACTCCTTACGCTTGCATCGCTTTGACATTGCACCGTCCACTGAGTTGAGAATTTTCGCACCCCTTATCATATCGCCTCTCATGCTCACCCATGGCCGCTCCAGCATTCATAGCGCTCGGCGGTGTCTGGCTGGATGAAATCAGGATTGCTGGAGAAATCAAATTCAAGGAAACTCTTGGAGGTTCGATCACGTTCGGTAGGTTGCTAGACCTTCTTCTTGGACGCCAGAGAAGGACTTCCTCGATGCGTTCTGTCACATTCTTGGACCATCGCGAATTTGCGGGACTCCTCTCACGCGCTTCTGAGACAGCATCTTCGTCTGGACGGCGATTGCCCAAATCATGATTTGTTCCGGGAATGATCCACAGACGTTGCGTTGCTGACTGGGCATAGCGACTCTTGGAGCGCGGCTGTTCGACGTATGCTGCATGTACTTTCAGGTGACTTCGAGACACTCGACTCGCATGTGATGGTGGCTGTGCTATTTTTGCGTCGGCTGATCCTTGCCGAACTCTTGGCCGCGTCACGAGAAGGATGCCACCTTTGTTCAACCTCATAGCTCGCGATGTCGCTGTCTGCTTCTCCACCACGCCTGATCGCGGGAACACGATACCATTTCAACGATAGCACTGGACATACAGGAGTCCTGCTGGCTTCCAATCATGGAAGCCGCACCCCCGAGCTACGAGAAGGCCACCTTGATCGACTTCTGGGACATTGTGGCGCGGTATATGCCCTCGAACGACCTCTGTTCAGCAGCGCTAGTATGCAGCAGATGGCATACCACATTCGCGCCTCATATATGGGGCAATCCTGCGTCACACTTCGGACTGGAGAATGATCGTGTCTATGTCGCTTTGACACGATTCAAGCGAACTCTGCAGACTGCTCGACTACTGCTTCGGAGCATGACGCATACCTTGCATCTACCTCCCGCGCATGCCGAAATCTACAATGGACCGCAAGCAGACTGGCTTCGAGATGTCATGGAACGACTTCCGAATTTGCAATCACTGATCGTGAGAGGGCTGCCATTCTTTGACTATGCCGCTTTACAAGCCCTAGTACTTTTCCGCAAGAAGCCGGAAGACAGGAGAGCGCCTCCGCTGGGCGTGATAGAGCTTCCTGCGTCTAGTGGTAGTTTCTTCCAAAGTCCAGCCACGACTATTCCGTCTTTTGGTTTGCGGCTACTGGATGCATCTCGATGTCCTAATGTCACGTCAAGTGGTCTTGCTGCAGCATTGGGAAGATTCGAAGGCCTGTTATATCTTGATCTGTCCTTTTCATATCCGGCGCGAGATCCAGCTGTGTTGGACACGTTGAGAAAGTTTTCTGGCCTGCAAGTCTTGAAGCTAAGAGGAGTGAGTCTCAAGGATGAGAGCATAGAGGTTCTTGGCAAAGCTATTGGTGTCCGTGTGCGCAGTCTTGATGTGAGGGACAATCAGTTGACTGATCGTGGTGTTCGTGCACTGCTAGAGTGTTGCTTTGTTAGCAATGCGGACGCAAGTAATGCTTTTACATCACTGGCATCTGGCCAAAGATCTCCAACTCTACTTCCATATCTAGGCTCGGAAATGCTGGAGATCTACCAGGGCGAAGACTTTGAAGGCTACCTGAGGAACGCATTCACTGGTCGGTTCGTCTCACGTCTCGCTATCGAAGATGCTCCGGCAGGAGGCATCACGCATCTCTACATCGCCGGCAACATGGTCACTGTTGAAGGTCTATCTGGACTGGTTAGAGCGCAAAGGCTTCACGTTTTAGACATTGGCCCAGTTGCAGCTGCAAGAGTTAGACATCACTCATTCTCTGGCGGGGAACAGGAATCCAATGTGACCATGCCGGGTGTTGAGAAACTTACGCCAATCTTTGCAAAGCACGCCGCGGATGCTCTGACTTTTCTGCGAGTCGACCACGGTCTTATCACAAAAGATGCGCCTCAGTCACACCCTGAAGAAGTTGTGCAAGGACGAGTCGAGCTTGGAGATACTTCTCTACCATACATACCAACACATGCTGCTGAACTGCCTGCAAATGCCGTTCGCCCAGAAGCATTTGAGCTTGCAACTGATGAGCAGACGCCACGATTTGAGCTTGAAGCTGACCCGATCACATTCGCAATATCGCCTGCTGCAGACGATACTTACAAGATCGCAACTCCTCAAGAGCCTGATCGGCGAGACGATACCTTCAAAATTGTGGATGATGGAAACTCCGGTAGCCCAAGCGAAGCGCGGCGAGGTAGTGCCTTAGCTCCAGAAGTGGTCGATTCCCTCACGAATGGCATGCGAAACACTATGCTCAGCCCTATATCGGCCATGGGAGAAGGGACGACGATGTCAATGAATGGCATACCATCTCCAATAGCACTTGACTCACCTAACCCATCACCCCCTCGCACACCACGTCCACGGAGCTACTCCTCGATTGCAACGGAGCGCAAAGCACGGCTGAATGCGCACGTCTTAGCAGGACGTAATCTACATCCTGCAATGCTCCCTCACATCTCGACTCTAGTCCTTACCGATGTACCACCATTTTCACAAGACAGAGACGTGGCTGATCGAATTGTCTGCTTCATCAAGCAATGCGCTGAAGAGGCATCACTCGCTCGCAAACAAGCCGAATTGGACTATTCAGCGCCACCCGGCCGCAAAGGCCACGCTACTGCTCTCAAACACTCTGCTGACAAGTTCTTTGCACTGAAGCGTCTCGTGTTGGAAGTAGCTCCCGAAGGTGGTCGTGCAAAGGGCAAAGCTAGCCCGTGGCTACATCAGGAGACAAGGTCAGTGACCGAAGATCGTGACAGCGAAACGCTCTGGAACGCGGCATCGACAGATTTCAGCTTTTTCGGCGAGGAAGAAAACATGTTTCCGACTTTGGAGACCGGACGGTTTGCTGGGTCTGGAGCTACTGAGAAGGAAGTCAATTTTGGACAGCAGGTTCAAGCACCGGTGCAAACCAAATCCGTACCACCAGCACGAATCGATAATATTGCTTTGCTCTCTGCATTCAGGAGAGAGCGAAAGCTCGCACATCAACGTGCTGTAGCAGCGGCTGGCAACGCTGATGTGCAGGTCGAAGGTCTCTGGGATGGTATAGTGCAAGTTGTACGCTCAAACATGACCATTAAGAGTGATGAAGAAATGGACTATTATGGGAACAAGTTTATCAACAATTACCTGTACCGATGACGAGAATACATGCAAAATTTGCCTTGTGCAATCATCATCTGAAGTTCATCTCCTCCATCTCAACGAAAGCGCTCATCATCCGCTTTGACAAGATCAGCCCCCTTTTCCGCAACAGCATAAGTCGTACTCATGATATTCCCAGAAACATGGCCAGGGAAGACCGAAGCATCGATAACACGCAACCCATTCACCCCCTTAACCTTCAACGTATCATCCACAACCTCACCCATCGTACAAGTTCCAATCAAATGATACTGTGTGGAAATATGGTTCCTCACATACTCGATCCGTTCCTCTTCCGTCTCGATCTTCGCGTCCTGCGGCGGCAAAATCCTCTCTCCCAAGCTCTTCGCCATCACAGGCTGTTTGACCACTTTATCCATCCACTTGATGCCTTCCGCGAGGATTTTGGCGTCGGCCGGGTTGCGGAAATAGCCTGGGTCGATTCGCGGGTGTTTGGTGGGATCGGGGCTGGTGATGTGCACGGTTCCGCGTGAGAGGGGGTGTTCGGAGCATACGAGCATGGAGACGCGTTGTTTGCCTTTCGGTCTGCGATAGCTTTTGTGTTAGAGGAAGCGAAGGATGGGAACTTGATGCGGCGGATGACTTACGGTGCTGCGAAGAATGCAATCTGACTATCACCTCTACTGACATCGAGTTGGGCGCCAATGCAGAAAATCTGAAGATTCGCAAACGTCGGATCGGAAAGTTGACGAACGATGACATCTTCCTGTCGCTTTTCAAAGTCCGTTTTGGCCAGAGAGTTCTGTCGGATATCCGCGATTGTCTGGTTCAAAGTGTGTTGATCGACCAAAGATGCGTAAGATACGAAACCCATCAGCATACCAGGAGACCCGAGAGGACCGTTGTTCGTTTTGTTGTACATTTCTTGCATGGCGGCTTGATACTCTTCTCCGTGCAAAGCATCGAGACTGTTGATGCCATCCTTCAGGTCGTACAACATACCTCCCAGGACATGGTCTTGAAAGTTCGCACCTACCCGATCATTCTTGACGAGACATTCGACGCCCGCTGCTTCGAGGACTTTTGGGTCTCCGATTCCAGAAAGTTCAAGGATTTGAGGAGAATTTATAACGCCGCCGGACAAGATGATCTCTTTCGAGGCTTTGGCTTGATATTTCTGGCCATTGTGGTAGAATTCGACACCCTTCGCAGTCGTTCCTTCGAGTAGTACACGGCCGACCAGTGCTTCTGTGAGCACTCTAAGATTTGGCCGTTGAAGATTCGGTCTCAGATATCCTGTGGCGGAGTAGCTTCGCTTTCCTGGATCATCGGTCCTGTTAACTGCAGCGAGGCTTGAATAGAAGCCCATGTGGTCGCCCGACCAAGCATCGTGGAGAGTACGTTGTCCGCCCACGGTGGCGTACGCGGCTTCGCAGAAATCGTATTCGAAGGGCTCGTAGTAGTCGTTGAAAGAAGTGTGGATCGGTCCATTACTGCCGTGATACTTTTCCTTAGCAGCTATAAGGACCTCTCAGCTCAGTCAAATCAAACAGAAAGACTAGCACGCTATGCTTGCTTGAACTTCCACTAACCTGCTGGCATAAACTGCTTGTTGGGGCTTTCCTTCTCAGGAGGATCCAGAGTTTGATGTTTCTTGAAATATGGAAGCATGTCATCCCAGCCCCAGCCTGTAGACGTCAAGTCAGCGATGCTCATCGATATATCTGGAATTTAATTCGTGTTGTCCTCACCTTTATTACCCAAGCTAGCCCATCCATCGTAATCGTTCCGTGATCCCCGTACATACATGAGATAATTTATGGCCGAAGACCCACCAAGTGCTCGCCCACGAGGCATCGAGTAGGTCTTATTGCCAGCAGTAGGCACTGGCTCGGATTCGAAACACCAGTCATACTTCTCGCGACCGATCAAGGTTGGGTATGAAGAGGGCGTTGAGATTTGTGGATCGTCCATCAAATTCTTGCCTGCTTCAAGCACTCCGACTTTGACCTTGTCGTTCTCTGTCAGTCGTGCGGCGACACAGAGACCAGCTGTGCCACCACCTGGAGATTGGAAGGATTGTTAGCCGGATTCGCTGAATGGCTTTACGCTGGCAATACTGCACCATACCGACGACGATGTAGTCATACTCCTGAGCAAGAAACTCGTCTAAAGTACACAAAGCAGGACCACCAGAGTGACCGCCGACCCCGTTCTCTGCAGAAGGCATCTTCCGACTTTGAATGTGAAAGTTGAATTGGAGGTAGTCTAGCAAGATTTCTTTGGTGACAGATTGGTCCCTCTTGTTTCTCGCGCTCGCTCCCCTGGACACTAGATCGAATTGTACATTCTCTTTCGGTGCAATGGATAGTATGTGCACTCCATACCCCTCCATCCTGCAGACGTGTGAATGCAGTGAGTGGCTACCAAGTTGGAGCTCTTGAGCCCTGCAGCTGTACTCCGCACGCATTCGGTTATGCACCTTTCAGAGCGTTTCGACTGACCGAAAACCGCCCAGATTGCGCCGAACGGCTACTTAAGCCACGAACTGAAGCTGGAATTGCAGGTCAGTAGTAAATATGATCGCGTTCTAATTAATCTAGTGATCGATTGTCGCCAGCCGAGGCTCGCTATGCAAGTGCTATGCCGGAAATGCCTAAGAAACCAGGGAGATCTTATGACCACATCAAGAGAATCCTTCCTGACCAAATTGGCGCTTGCAGAAATTGTCCACGATGGCATGGATCAGTGCAATTGTGACCTCCTTGCCCTTCTCGATCATGTCCGGATCGCTCTCTGCTGGAACGTGCAAGAAAAGCACAGGTCTTGCTTTGTCGCCACCGCCTTCCATCGCGCCACTGCGACGACCACAATGCGCGAGACTGTTGAAATAGATGTAATCGCACAAGTAGTGGCCCGCATCTTCGGACGGTCTTGCATCAGCTCCATTGCCAAGACGGCCTTCAGGAATGCTGAGAAGATTCACTTGCCAATCGAGCAGCACGTTTTCGTAGTCGAGAGAGGTGGTCATTGTAGGAGGACAGTCAGCAAAAGTCGTCTTGCCCTCATCAGCGCCAGGCATTCTACCGTCGAGATCTTTATTCTTGTCGTAGCCGTCTCTGTGCCCATATCTTTCCAGCGCGTAGAATTTCCGCCCAGATGCCATGCCAATGTGTAAGACAACGTCAACAGTTCCAGCATACTCTTGGTGTAGCTTGGGAATCAAGTCTCGAACTTCATCATAGGCAACGCGAACCGGTGTTCCATAAGATATTATTCGCACGGCTTTATGAGGCGAATTTGCCGGCAAGGATTCTGGCAGTCTCCGGGCAATCTCGAATGAAGGATTGACGGGATAACGTTCCTGAAAAGGACCAAATCCAGTCACAAGGATAGTGATCTCCTTTGCGTGTTCATTGTGACGATTCGTAAGGACCTCTTGGTGGCCATCCGGAAGTTGAACTGAAGGTGCCATTTAAGACCTGTCAAATTACTGGATTCCTGTCAAGCTCCAGATCTCTCGCAACAAGCTGCTGCTCAATGTTCTGATGCTTGGATGGGAATCGCAGGGTGACTTTCGCCAGCATAAGATGTCAAGTGTGATGGAAAGTTGTTTGCTAACCACGGAGCGAAAAGTTGAAGGTATGCCCCAATTTAGCCGATCCGAGGTGCACGTTAATTGGCTCAGCGAAGCTGCCGGGTTGTGCCAAGACTTGATAGCCGGGGCCCAGATAGGCACATTGGATCAGTCAACTGCTCGGACAATTCAAGTCATCCATTGACATGAATCTCAGCGGCTTTACGCAATCGATTCATGATGGCTGCCGCTGTGTCACCCTCAGTATCATCGATGCCCTCCACAAAGATGGCGTCCACATTTTGTCTGTCGAGGTCGCGTAATGCAGAGAATATACCTCTGGCAATGTCTGCTGTGTCTGGTCCAAGCTTGACTTCGACGATTGAAAGCGAGGCTCCTTGGGAGGGAATGTCGTGTTTTCTGTATTCCTTCTTGGCCCAATTGCTGGCTTTGAGACTCTGCAACATGCCTGCGAACCCAGCTGTGTCAGTATGAGTCAGGTCGGCAGGAGGCTGGTATGCTGGGTGGTCCGAAAGCCGTGTGAGGACCTTCTCAGCGTCTTCGGTGTTGACATTCCAAGTCCTTGTTCGGATAATGCCTAATTTTGCTTCTGCTCCTGCATGACGTTGTAGATCAACTAGAGTGGGCGGAGGCTTGCCTACTTCGAAAAGAATGACAGTCGCTTTTGGCGAGTAATGTCTGTACTTCATGCCGGGTGCTCTTGGCTGGCTGCCCTTCTCAGACACGTTCTTGTATCCAATCTGAGTGTTCTCCCATCCCGGGCATGTTCGAATTTGCTCCAGACTCAGGCCGCCGGGTCGTAGCACAAGAGGCGGATCCGAAAGTCCATCGACGACGGTGCTTTCTACGCCCACATCGCATGGGCCACCATCGATGATAGTCTCAATGCGACCGTCCAAATCGTGTGCAACGTGCTCGGCAGCCGTTGGCGACGGCTTTGTGGAAGCGTTTGCAGAAGGCGCAGCGACAGGGACTCCGGCAATTGAGATTAGTGCTGATGCTAGAAGATGTCTAGGTATCCGTGCTCCAAAAGTGTGTAGACCAGCAGTGACTTCGGGCGCCAAAGGTGAATTTTCAGGATTTGGCAGAATGATGGTCATTGGGCCCGGCCAGAATCTCTCAATGAGCGGTCTGTAAATGACGGGTATTGGGTCTTCCAGATGCCCGTGTTGACGCGTGCCGTTTGTAGGAGACGATTGTTTGCCGTGCAACAATGATCTCAACTGTGACAGGGATGAGAAGTGAACAATGAGAGGATTGTCTGAAGGTCTTTGCTTAGCCTTGTAGATGCCTTGGACAGCAGCGCTCCGTGTTGCGTCTGCCCCGAGGCCATACACGGTCTCGGTAGGGAAGGCTACAGGGATGTCAGAAGTTCTGAGCTTCTCAGCAGCCGACTCAAGATACTGCGCATCCTGAGAATGGCTGTCGAAGTCGAAATGAAGTTCATCGAGCACATCGTGTGGTGCTGGCTTGGCGGTGACACGGCCAATTCGGGCCACATCGACGGGGAGGATTCTGGTGTGCATGGCGATGGCGACAGTGCTACATGCAGTACCAGATGGTGATCTCATACAATGTCACGTTGGTCGCTGCGACAAATTTCTTGCAGAGTGAGTCGAAGTCAAATCTCGAATCGCGCGAGGGTTGCCGGTCACGTGAGAGCAAGCAATCGCCATTTTCCCGATGCGTTGGCAGAGCACAGTGTGACCGTGTCGCATCTTTGACTGCCTGCCGCTTATTGCTCTTGGCGGACGAGCTTCCGTTTGCAGTGTGCCCTCGATACTTCCCCGAGCCCCAGCTACCCGCCCGAGCCCCAGCATAACCCGAGATTACGAGATCGGCTGTTCTATACGAAATCGCGTGTAGAAGCGGATAATCGCGTCGCTATAGCCCCGCCAGCCGGGCAACATACTATAAAGCCAAAGTTTGTTAGCAAAATAGTAGTATAGCGAGATTAGAGGTATTATTAGTACTATATAGGCAAGTATAAGCGCTCTATCTACTTAGGTCTAAGCGGATTGCGACCTATAGCCTTATAACTACGCGATGCTATATATGCTAGCTAATACTAATCCCTCTACTACTAACTAGTATACTACTATATATAATACTATTACTAAGTAAACTAATAGTATTATTAGTATAGAACGGTATAGTATAGAGGCATTATTGCCTACCGCACTAGCTATATAAGTAAGTACTGCTGCTAAGTAGCCTACTATCGCTATTGTTTAACTAATACTGCCTATTAGCGGTTATATTTAATCTACTGTCTTATACGCTATTCTTCTACCTATAGACGTAGACTCTTACGTATACGTAGGTCTTTAATCTCTCGGCGGAGCTAATCTAGCTTAGAAGGAGGCTCTAGCGCTACTAGAAGTAAAAACTCGACCCGTAGATTATAGCACTTAAAGCCGCTTAGATAGTAGGTAGAGCTATACGTACGGTTAGCCTTCTAGCAAGGGTATTATTAAGTACGATATTAGCTCTTAACGCACTTGTAGTGCTTAGTAACCGTAGTACGAAGCTAAGTAAGAGACACGCCTAGTTCTAGTACAAAGTCAACTATTCTAGCCGTTATTATTTTCCGCTTCTTAGTAACTACTATCTTATTTAAGTCGTCTAATTCTCGAGCTATTGCTATACGCTTTGTTAAGTATAGTATCGCTCCGCTAGTAAGAGGTTTACGGTTGCCGAAGATTACCTAAGGCTCTCGTAAACGTATTATCTTACGGAAGTCGATAAACTAGTAAGCGTAGAAGTAGTAAGGTAATAGTACTATACGGGGTCCGCCTATCTCGAGAAGCTTTATAATCTCGTAAAGATACGGATAACCGTAGGTCTTAGTTACGTAATCGCTATAGGTATAGCGTAGACAGGTATACGAGAACGCTAAGTGTTTGATCTCGTTACTATTATCGTCTCTTGTTATAGCAAGTAGTACTACTATACGCTTATAGATTTTAGCGACCTCGAGAAGGCAATAGTCGCTAATAATGCGCTATATACTAGACTAGAAGGGGCCTACGAGTGCCTTATTATATTGCTTTAGATTATTAGCTATTGCCGTACGCCGTTTGTCGTACTCTTATTGCTACTAGTTAATAAGCGACTTAAAGAGCGTAAAGATATCGTAACGGCCGCTATAGTTAAGCTAGTCCTTAATCCTTCTATAGTAGGCTTCTATACGAGAAGTAACCTTCTCGCCGAAGTAAAGAACGTTGTTAGTCTAGCAGTAAACAATCCGAGTCTTCTAGTACTACTAATTGTTATATAGATAAGCCTTAAACTACGGATATACGTTGTCTAACTTCCGTACGTTGTTGTTAAACTTAGCTTTAGTCTAGCTCTATAGAGTGTAAGTAAATAGCTTTATAAACTTATTAGTACTCGGACTGTTAGTCTAAGAGCTATTAGACTAGATTTAAGCGAAGTCGCTACGTTCTTTCTAGACCCGAGTAAGGATGTCCTATTATAAGTGCTAGTCGCAGACAATATTAGCTGCTTCTAGAATAACTGTATCGATAGTACGTATTAGTACCTCCTTACGAATAGTACTAATAACGTAAGGTATAGCACAACCGGCGCCTTCGAGTCCTTTACGGACTAAGCGTAATAGCTATTCAAAGTCCGCCTAGCTAGGCTTCGGTCTAATTAGTCTAATACCGAGCTAGATAGTATCGTTTATAGGTCTAGCAGCGACAATATCTAGTAACTCGAGGTTATAGATATTAGTTAAATAGGTCGTGTCTAGTATAAGCGTATATAGCGTATTCTTAAAGGCTTTAAGCGAGACTAGATAGAGGGCGACTATTAAGCGAATTAATCCGTTCTTAAGGTACGAGGTTATATCGTAGAAGATACTATATTCTTATAGTAAGTTAACTATCCGCTCTACTTAATTAGCCTATCTCCTAGTATTTAGACTATATACCTAGGCAAGGTTATAGATATCGTATAGTAGTAATAGAACTCTGCGGTACCTAAAGTAGGCTATAATCTTCGATGTTACTATACGAGACTACTATAAACCCTCTAACTAAGCGAGGAAGTTAGCGGTTCTCGAGCGCTTCCGGTAAGTTATTAAGGTAATAATATCGTAAGAGTTATAGTTATAGCAATAGTACTACTCCTCGCTAGAGTAACGTAGTTGCTACTAGCCTTTAGGGTATACTAGATCGATAGCAATAGCGTAGAAATAGAACTTATAGCCTAACTTCTTCGTCTTCTTATTAGCCTTCTTCGTTATTAACTAAGTACGCTTATCCGGCTTACTAAAGCAACCGTAGATATAGAGGTAACGATATTTCACCCCGTTCTTATTCTTCTTAGGCTTATACTACGCAAACTCGTACCCCTTCTAAGCGCTAAAGTTATAGATATATTCTTCGAGAGCCTAGTAGCTCGGAAAGTCGTCTTCTCGCGGTATTAGACCTCTTCGCTATAGACTCGCGGCGCGCCTCGAGAACGCGTACTTCTAAGGGCGAGGAGATACTAATAGATAGGACAGTAGATACTACGGCCTCGAATATAGCGTATTAACTAATCTACTATATATATAGCCTTATAGCGGCTCGACTTCCTCCTACGATACTACTACCTCCTACGATTCTATCTCTACTACCTCCTACGATTCTATCTCTACTATCTCCTACGATTCTACCTCTACTATCTCTATAGAGCTATTAGCGGCGATAATATCGTCGTTAGGCGCGAGGAACTCGTCGATATATACTTTATATAATAGAGATTCGGCTATTGTCGATAGAATAGCGGTATACTATAAGAGAGGGCGAAAATGCGATATTTAGGTAACTATAGTATACTCGGAAACGCGACCTCCCTAGAAAACGCGACGTATACCTATTAATAATACTAACTAAGAACGGAAATAGCCTATATTAGGTAGAAAGAGCACGTAATTCTATACAGGGCGATTCTATAATAGTGCTAGTATAGGGATATACTAGGGCTCGGGCGGGTAGCTAGGGCTCGGGGAAGTATCGAGGGTAGTATACGGATATCGAGGTACTATGTCTTATAGGTAGCATAGATCAATATTACTATAGCTTGCCCTTAACCTGTTAGTACGGCCCGTAGAGCCTCTTCTCTTAAATTTCGCTCCGCGGAGGACTATAGAGGTAGAATTAGGTATTTCTTCCTCTCTACTATCGTTAAATAGAGGACAATCGTATATTCGAGCCCCTACGCGTATTCTAATCGTTTCCGAGTGCTATACTATAATAATACCGCTAAGACCGATATGTACGACTACTAGCGTACCTCTAGTACGATTAGACGACTAAGTAAATAATAACTCTACGCCTAAGAAGAAGGTAATCCGTACTCTCGAGAAGCCTATTAGTCCGCCGCTAATAAGAAGGAATGCTAATACAGCTTAGTAGGTAAAGAGTAGCTCTAAGAGTAGGTCTACTAGTATAGGCGGGACGAGTAGGTCGTAGGTAGAGATATATATATAGGGAACTGTATGCTATAGGCCTAGTACTTAGTAAACTGCGAGAGGTCGGCGTAGTATTATATACTTCGAAGGGAAAGCGTTGTGAATATTAAAAAGAAGAGAATGGACGTAGGGAGGGCTATATTATAGCTAGATTAGGTACATTTCCTATGTCTCTCTTGCTATATATTGTCGTAGCTATGTCTCCTTGTATTGTGTGTATGTTCTAATTATAAAGGTAGGTGTGTGTATTCTAATTATAAAGGTAGGTGTGTGTGTTCTAATTATAAAGGTAGGGGAAGAGGGTACAAGTAGGTACACCTATACTAAGCCGGGTTTCCCTACTACATTTTCCCTCCCGGACTAAGAAGTCTACCCTTAGACTAACGCTTCCTTACCTCCCGGACTAAAAAACCTCAAACACGTAAAGAAACCAAACCGACTATCCTATAGCGGTATCCTAGCTAGCTAGCTACTATACCCTATTACTCATTTCTTTCTACTACGAGTCGCTAGTCTACTATAGTTACCTCTACGGCCCTAGCCGCTATAATTGCCTCCTCGCCCCTACTAGTTAAATTAGTCGATAAGAGCCTAGGTCCGCGTCGCCTTAGCCCGTATGTCCTAGCGGGTCTGTCGCTTATTCGGATTAGCTATAGGGTTCGTAGGCTGCTTTAAAGAAGATAGCTAAGGAGGCTGTTTCTTAGGGGTACTAAGCTACTAGGAGTTAACGTTCGGGAGTACTCTACTAGGAGTAGAGACCTTCGAAGCGTAGGTAGCAGGTTTCGCTAAAGGGGCGCTAGACTACCGCTAGTTAGTAGGAAGGTCTGCCTTACTAGGTTCCTATTAGTATATAAATCCCTAGCCTCCCTAGTTAAACTCCTCCCTAGCGTTAGGCGTAGGCTAATATCGGTAGAAATTATCCTAGTTTAGGCGCAT